TGGAAGTGATAGTTATTGTTCTGGTGAATACAAAAAGATGGAGCCTGATAAAGAAATGGAAAATGAAGAGTAGTGAACACTCCCTTTGTGTATGTACCCAGTGGGGTCACCTACACTGAACAGAAAAACAGTGCTACTTTGCTGACAACTGGTAGCTGAAGAGGGAGACTCATTCCCTGGTGCTGGCTGCCAGTTTCTTTTCCAGTTTTATTTCCATTAAAAGTGGATCTCCAAACATAAAATCAAAAGAAAAGTCTTTAAAATAGAACATGAGTATCAGATTCCTAGAAATAATTATACGATTTCAGCAGCCTCTGCCATGTCATAGTACAAGAGGGGTAATTATTTCAGTGTTAAAAAAAAATCTCAACATTTAATCCTACAAGAATAACAAAACAAAAGGATAATATTACACCTATAAGGAGTAAGATCCCACAAGTAAACTTTTCCCAGGAAAAATGGTAGTGAAAGGCCCAGTGTCAATGCCCGAATTCCAACAGAAGAGACAAGACACATCCGCTCAAAATTATTTGTTTCTACTGTCAATATTGTCCCTCATTCCCAGAGAGAGCAGACATATTCGTCCTGGCTACTCCCAAGACCTACTTCCAGTAAAGTTCTCCAAGTATAGCAATGCTCAACAATTATTGGAAAAGCCTGGATTTATGTTACTCTCCCTTAAAAGTTGTGCCAAGTTGAAGGGGGTACCATGAAATCTCAGACCTTGTGTTTGATACTCCCAAAATCCCAAACCATAGCTGTTTCCATCTAGTGAGACCTTCATGGGGCCCTCAAGTAGATCAGGGACAGGGCTAAAAAAGAAAACTAGAGCTCCTTAGGAACAGTAGAGGCTCTTTATATACATAATCTGAAAGCACATTCTTATACTATTTAAAACTATCTATTTATAAAGTCTTCATGGATCTTCAAATATGAAAGGCACTTCAAAAATTAGCTTGACTTACAATTTCAGCAACAGAGATTATTTACCACATGACGGGTGCTGCAACATTAGAAGATCAAACTAATAACCATTAGCAAGTACATAGTTACCCATCAGTTTAACCATTAGTTCTACTAGCAGGAGAAATCTGTATTTTGACTCTATCCAATGCTTAGAAGTCCACTGCTGATACGACAGAGGAATCAGGCAGTAAAATGGCAGGCAACGCAACCCCCTTTTTTCCCAGATCGTATCAGGAAGAAGGTTTAACCTATCCTAGAGTTATTGCATGTAGTGAGAAACATGAGGAGTTTTAAAATTATTTTCTGCACAACAATTCTGCTAGCAGGTCTGCAGTAGTCTCAAAAGTCTCATTATGTATATCAGAGTGATACAGTCCTGTTCCACTGACCGACGTGCATCCCTGCAGGATGGTGTACAAAAATGGAATCACTATCCTTTAAAACAGATTTGCCATTTATTAATGCAATAAATACAGATCCAGCTTTGGGAAAATGAATCTTCTTTCCTAATCCACCTTAAACACCTTCTGTTGTGGCAAATGGAAGCCTCTCTAATATACAACCACCATCAACTAAACGCAGCTAATGAAAGGATATAAAGCGAGGCTTAGGCTTTAATCGTTATTACTACTGGAGCTATCGGGAGGACCCGAGTCCACTCTGCGGGCGCAGCCCTAAGAGGCTTTCAGGTCCCCACGCCCCGCTCAGATCAGTGTGTCAGCCCCTGCCCGCAGTTCCAGGACAGCAGAGCGGCCCCGCCGCACCCAGCGCGGCTCCACAGGTCCCGCTCCGCGCCGGCGGCGGGGCTGCGCTGCTCGCCCGGTACCGGCGCTCCCGGCCCGGGAGGTACCGCAGCCCGGTCCCCGTCGCTGCGGGGACACTCAGTCCCGGCCTGGGCGGCGGGAGCGGAGCGGAGGAGGGAGCGCTGCTCCCGCCCGCTGCGCAGCGGCCCCGGCCCGGCCCTTACCGATGCACCGCACGTAGTGTTTTGCAGGAAGTTTCCACGCTCCTCGGTCTAAACCGTGCAAAGGGGGGCCGGAGAGGAGCGCGGCTGAATTGCGATGGAAGGGGGCGGGCGGGGAGGTGGAGGAGGAGGCGGTAGCAGCAGCAGCCGTGTTTAATTTTTTAATTAGGGCACTTTGAGCATCTCTCGGCGGGGTCGCATCGCCGGGCGGCGAGGGGAGCAAGGGCGAGCTGCCCCCCCGCCGCCCGGGACTACCCCGTGCCCGGAGCCGTCGGGACTCCAACCTGGGCTTTCGACAGCCGGCGAGGCGGCCCCGGAGCCGCGGGAGCTCCGCGCTTCGCCACCATGGGCAGCGCGGGCGCGGAGGACACGGGTGGGTACCGCGGCCGGCACCGCGGCGGGGCCGGCGGGCGGGCGGCGGGCTCTGACCTTGCGGCGCCGCCCGGCCCGGCCCGCACGGCCCAGCGGGGCGGGGGATACTGAGGGACCCGGGGCGGCGGGGGGAGCAGGGGCAGGAGCAGAGCCTAAATCTGCCCTCCCTCCGGGGCCGGGAAAGCGAAGGCTGTGCGCGCAATCCTACAGCAACAATTGCTTTGCAGGTGCTCGGTCTCTCGCAGCGTCCGTCCCCAGGGAAGCAGGCAACACTTTTCCACGTTCACAAGTTAAGGATGATGCTAATGAGCGTTTTATTTTCCTGCATCACTGTATTATCGAAATCTAGACTACATACATGAATTCACAGCACAAGAGCTCCTGTCCAATGGAGACTCCAGGCTGGTGTATTTGCTAAGGATAAAATCTCATTTCTGCAATTCATCGCTTGTTGGAAGGATGGAGGTGTCACTGCCCGGCTGCTGCTTCTTTGCAGGGGAATGCTGTTTAAGTGGTAAAGTGTTGCTTGCACCTAGAGTTACCATGCTGCAAAAACACTGCCTGCTTGTGTGGGGCTTTGCTCTCCTTGCAGAACAGTGAGCCATGCCTTCATTTGCTGGGCATCCATGCCCTGGCCTTCCTACCTTCACCTCCCTTTATGTTTTCTTAGAACCCTGAAGAGACAGTCTTCTCCTCTGCAATTTAGAGAATACAGGCATGCAGTGTGCACATGAGCATGACAGGTTGGCTGTGTGGTCACAGCACGGCTTTTGCAGCATTTCTGGCCATGTGTTATTAACTCAGGTAGCTCAGGCCCGTTGGAGAATTCCATATTCATTCAAATTTCCATTTCATTAGGACTTCTCCATTGTTAGTCTTTTCATCCTACCACCTCCTGTGCCCATTTTTTCTGATAGCATTTCTGGAATACAGTTTAGTTTCCCTAAAGAGATAGTTAAGTGCAAATGAGGTGTTTCCAAAACTTTAAATGTCCCTAACCACACCACCACGTTTTCAAGTTAGGTTTGTTCTTACTCAAACACAAGCTTGGGACTGAAGCTATTAGAAGTACTTTGAGAATGACCACATCCATGAAACAGCAGCTGGGCTGCAGACATCCAAGAGGTGAACAGATGGCCACTGATTTGGTCCATTTTGTTGCACACTACCGTTTATGAAGGGGGTTTTCAGGCAACTGAGGTTTAATCATGCCAAGAGGATGAATGCTCCCAGCTTGAGACCATGTAAAGATACTCCTTTCCAGCACCAAGCCATTAGAAAACAAATCCTATAGGGGGTTCTGTGAAAGAAGGACTGAAACCCAAAATACAAGGAAGATTATTCTGGCTACTTTCTTAATCTTTTCAGATTCTCTGTAGACATACGAGTAAAGGCTAGGTCTGAAAAAAGTGGCACCCTGTCACCGCAAACCACCAAAGAACTGGAGCTGGGGTCTTTAATCAACACCAAACATTGGCAGAGTTGGGCTGGTGATGCTCCTAGGACAAGAATTTCAACATCTTTCTTCCAGCTGCCTCACAATACTTAGTACCCATGGTGTTCCCCTTCACCATCCCCCCACAGGTGCAGCCAGCACCCCCAGCTTATACCTCTCTTCTTCTTAGCTAAGTGGTCTATATGCTAAGCTGTTTTCCTCATTCCTATTTTCTTTAGGACTCTTATGGTTCATTCTGACCTCAGAAGGGCTTCCAGTGGTCTTTTATTTCACAGCAGGATGTTAAGGAGCCTTTCTTTTTGCCAGTGTTTTTATACGGGCAACTCCAAGGAGTAGAGTCTTCACCTGTGAAAAAAAAAAGTCAAGCTCAGTCGGGGGCCAGCCCCCCCAAAACGGCTCTGCAGATTCCAACTGATACAATGCCCGTCCCCATCACGCTTTTCTAGAGGCTATCTTTGAAGATTTTTGGATTCAGGCCATGTTAGTTAGCATTCAGTCTTCTGACTCAGGACTTGACACATACTCTGCAGCAAATGACAGGGTATCTGACTGACTGGGAGAGGACATCAAACCTGTGTGCAGCACTACAATGTGGAAACAATAAAAAAGGCACACAGGGTAAAATGTGCTACCACAGTTTTGGGGATACATAATTAGAGCAAAATTTCCTGTGAACATGGAGGCTTCAATTACAATTTCTGAAATTCAGGACAAGGAAGAGAAGAACACAAAGCTGCACATTAGTTTCCCAGAACCAATCCCCCCCACCCCCAGCAAAATGCATGGTGTTTTCTCAGGCAGCTGTTTCAGCCAAACTTTTGTTGGATAAGACTAAGATATACTTCTCCATGTTTCAGCATCAGTCCAGCTTTGCACAGAGATCTGTTGCATAGTGACTCCTAACAAGCACATAATGTACAAACAAATCCCATTAATTCCAGTGTGTAACCTGCAAAATTAGTAAGACTGGAAGTCATATTCTTGGAAAATGACTCTCTATGGTGAAGAAATGTCATGTCAAACACAAACATATTTGTCTGGACTCAGCTCAGATGCAGGGTTCTCCACAGCCAGCCTATTGCTAAGATTTTTCTCTATGTCTTTCAAGGTAGCAACTGGGGGGGTTTGGGTCTGGCTTTTCCAGGTAGTGGCTAGGTATCATTTTCCAGTATAAGCCTTAAATTTAATTTTTATAACCCAGTGTCCTATGATTTCTGGAAAGTAATTTTTTTCCTTGATTGGCTGTTGTTCAAATCAACTGATTTGTGACATAAATTTGTGATATTGAACTTTCTGTGATTTTTTTTTCCCTGCAGAAGGTCAAACTTAATAGAAAAATTGGAAGTATGCCCAATGAAAATCCATATAGCAGGTGGGCTTTACCTATGATACATTTTCAGAAAATAAATATTGCTTGCTGTTGACATTATTTCTAATTCCAATAGGCTATATCTGGATCTTTTCTCCAGTTTAACAGGAATTAAAACATTGTGACCCAAAGAGCAGAATATAATTCAAAACAAGGAAGGATCTCATACACAGCTCTATAGAATAAACAGAACATTGGTTGTTATGCTCTGGCACACATGTAAAGACAGTAATAGGAAAACATATTATTTAACATCTACTACACTGAGGTTTATTGCAAAAAGAAAAAGACTTGTGTCTTGCCCTTTTAACCTTTGTTTTAAAATTTTTATTCTTTATAGGATAATTAGTCAAAACCCCCACAAATTCTGAAGTGAGAAAGGAGACACCAAAGAAGATAAAAGTTTTGTCCATTTCTGTCTGCTCAGGAATGCCAAATCTTATTTTTGCTTTTTTTTATTGTAGGGTATGGCTACTTTCAGCCATGACTGCAGTACACAGATACCAGAGCTCCCTTTAACCTGGCTTAGCAGTGCAGGTACCTGAAGCAGTGTAGCCATGGCAGCACAGAGCTCTGAGTGGCCTAATTACTCTGCCAGGAAATAAATGGATACTGGTAATTCCCTGGGGAAAAAGATGGTTGAACCGTTAACAAAAAGAGTTTTTCCCTGAGGCACATTCGTTAAATAGGTGTTAGCAAGAGGCAGGAAACCTCAAGCTCTAACCTCAGAATAAAAGTGCCTTTGTCCTTGGTGCTTTTGATGTCCCAGTCCTTCCAAACCTCCTGCTGTCTATAGGTACAAAAGAAAGATGTGATTCTAATATCTGATAGAAAACCTAAGATAAAGCAAAACGATCCCCACCCCCAATTAAAATCTATACATAAGATCTCCTTAAACAGGCAAAAATAAAAGGTTTCACCTGCCTGGAAATGCAAAGAGCTCTCCTGGTGGCAGTGGCAGGGTGGAGTTGCCTGAGCCTCCTGCCCTCCATAGGACACACATCAGGGTCAGCCCCCTGAGCAACAGCAGGAGGGATTTCAGACCTGCTGTTTCCTATGCCTGTAAAAATGGCAGGATATGTATGTATTTAAGGTGAAGACCAAGAAGAAGAAAAAAATGGGAGCAAGATTTAGGGGAAGGGAATTTAATTCTGTTATCTCTTCTCCCACCAATCTTTCCTCATACGCAAGAGCAGACATGTATAGAGAAAGGTGAAGGGGTAATTTTATCAATATGCTCACTTTCTTACAAGCTCAAATACACAGCATTTTTTTTCTGAAACTGGGGACCAAGACTTCACTAAAATTGCACACACAGTGGTTTATTTTACAAGTTGGATCTATTTATTTAGACTCGTGATCTAAATCAGATGGCAAAATCCATATTATTTGGCTGAAATTGCCTTTGAGGTCAATGCAAGTTTAACTAGTTTAAGGATAGAGATTTAAAGCCATTTCAAAAAACATACCTGGCTTCTCCAGGTGGAGACCTCGGTGAGTATTGCCAAATCAGAATCTGTAGACTTGTGCCCAGCCTGACAAAATACTATTTGCAACAGCCACATGCTGAAATTCCTGTTTTGAGGAGACAGAAAGCCAGAAAATTGTGAGTTTGCTGTCTCATAACAGAGGCCAGTAAGTGGATGGTGTGTAGAGGCTAAAAGTTGCATTTTTTTCATATTAATTTAAATGTGAAAAAACAACAGGACACTGCTAAAATCTGAGCTGGTTTTCACTTCCAAATGTTCATATACTGCAGCTTAGATACATGCATCCCATTTAGACCTAACCACACTGATTGGACTTTTCTATGCAGGCAAAGAAGCAATAGAGGTGAAAACCCCACAGAGTCACCAGGATGTGATGCCCAATGATGAGCAGTAATTACTGCAGCAACACTTCAGCCAGCATGAGTGTCAACGAAATGTCTGCCTTCCCTCTGACTCTAGAGCAAAAAACTGGCTTTGCCTTTGTGGGGATTTTGTGTGTTTTCTTGGGACTTCTAATTATCCGATGCTTCAAAATCTTGCTAGACCCCTATAGTAGTATGCCTTCTTCTACATGGGAAGATGAAGTTGAGGGGTTGGATAAAGGAACATTTGAATATGCTCTTGCATGAAAACTCACAGAATATCCTGCCTTAAATTTGATGTTGATTTCATTTTGGAAACCAACTGTTGTTACATTTGTTATACATCCCCGCATTTTGGAGATATGTTGGTGGCATCCATTTTGTTAAATAAATATTTGTTGCAAACTCAAAAGGCGCTTCACGTTGCTTTTACTTGCCAAACAGTGGAATGGTAGGTAAGAAATGGTTAACAGAAAACAAATACTACAATAATTCAATAGAAAGTGATGATGGCCAATATTTTAAGAGTCAGATGATATCTGCTTCTTCAGAGAAGGATCTCATTTCTGCTGTGTCTCATGATACGCTGGAGAAAAAGATGAATAACACAAAAGACAGGCTCACGAATGGTGCATGTTTAAATGGTAACACCCTCCCCGCCTCATCTGACACTATTTTCTGAAACTCGTAGTCTGTGCTTGTACACTGAGAATACAAAAGTGGAGGACAACAAATGTTGAGGATGTGCCTGCAAGAGGTGTGTGTCTGTGTTGCTGAGGGGACAGGAGCAAGGGCTAGTCCACTAATGGGAAAGCCAAAGATCACATCCGTTGCTAACTCATCTCTCACCTTCCAAGAAGAGCAGGTGCTCTACTACTGACTGGTTATGAGGAAAGTACATTGCTTCTCTGTGAAAACTTGATGTGGTCCTTTGCAAACACTGTGTAACTCACATGAGTATTTTTTTGATAGATCTCCCAATCTACAGCAACAGAAACTGAAGCAGAATTAGTGGAAGGGAAACAAACATCATTAAGGAAGTTTTTGATACTACAAACATTTAGCCATACAAAACATATTACCTGCTCAGAACTCCAAATCAACATCAGCACAGTCCCAGTCCCCCAGCATCTCCTACATTGTTAAAAATTTTAAGAGGAAGAGAAAAATTGAATGTTAAATAACCAATCTAACTCTAGCTGAATTGGTCAATTGCCAGTTTTTTACTACTTGGTTACAAATGTCGACTCAGTTTAAACTGGAACTTAAACTGTCTGGTTAACAGCTCCCAGCAATAATTACACCAGCTTGGCAAGGCCAAAGCAGAGACAATCATGCTGCTTACCCATTTGTACCCAGTCCCCAAGAGGGACGAGGGTCCAGAGCTGACTGCAGAGCTCTGTACTCTCCAGCCCCTCTCCACAGCTGGTTCTGCTGCTCCTGTGACTTTGTACAGTGTTCTGGATCTTTGTACAGACCTGGACTGTCACTGAAGAACTGGTCATGGGAGAGCCTATCAAAGCAGAAGTGAAACAGTGAAAGGAGAGACTCAAATCTGGATATTCAAGGTCACCCTCATATACACAGCTGTTTAGCAAGTGTGACAGTACTTGACAGAAATTCAATTCAGTTTTTAAGAAGGCTGGCATTAGAATTTTAGGCACTGTCACTTTTGCTAAACAGCTCTGTTTGCAACGAGGAGCTAAGACAAGGAGATCAGTTACAGCAGCTGTTTTCTTTTTTCATGTATTCTGAAAAAATACATGTTATTTCTTTTGCCCTATATACTAGGCAGAGGCAGAGAGTGGAACAGCAGACCTCAAGCGCCATTTGGAACATGAAATACTTGATTGTACGGGGAAGGACATGAATCTCCTGTCTGAAGAATATAACAGAGGAAAAGCCAACATCAATCTACACCGGTCCAGTTGAATTATAAAACATAAACAGCTTTGTGAATATAAGGGCTTTTCAACTGCTTCAGATTGTACATAGGAAAAAAACGTCAGACCTTCAGAGATTCAGTATATTGCATTTATCCTAGTTAATTTAACCATAAAATCCGAGGTAGATATCAGTACAATGATTCATGTGATCTGTTATTGCTGGATAGGATCATCCACTGCAGAGACCTGACACTACCATTCTTTTTATGTACATCTAATCAGCACAGCTGAGCTCTGTGCTGTCAGGTTAGAGTGCTGAAGGTACTTAGGTTATCTGGGTTAAATATAGCTCAGTTAGCTTTAAACTACACAACAAACACAGCAAACATACCCAAAGAACCCCAATATTGTCTTATGACTTTTGTTCTTGACCCAATCTATTGCTGGAAGCAATTATCAAGTTCCCTTATGATTACAAAGCTTCATCATTTCCTGCCTTCCCTTCTCTGCATCCCAAATAGACAAGGAAGTCAGCCTTCCTGGAAAGAATACAGAGAACATAATTTTTCAAAGGTTTTCCTTAAATATACAGAATAAAACTTAAAAAGGGGTCAGGAGTAAATGGTTCAAAACCGCCTGTAGGACAAGGGACCCCCCCAATGACCGATCCCACTGACTTCACTGAATGTCTTCTGCATAAAATGCACCGAGAAGAACCTGTCCTGAACTCATTATCTACATGACTATATATGCAGAACTGAAAAACAGAGAGAACATGATCTGTGCATAGAATCTGGCATAGCTGGGAGGGAAATGGAGATAACAAAAGTATTTTCAGGCCCCCTTAGAAATTTTGCAATGCCATAAAGTCAGTAATTGTAATGGATAGGTACATTTGCTGGTTAATATGTAACAAGCTAGAATGTCTCTCTAAATCACCATCTAGAAATGTTTTGAAAGAGAGGGATTGGATGGTCTATTCAGTGTATTAAGCAGGAGAAAAATCTGGCCAATAAGGCAGAGTCTGTAATGCCTCAAAGAGAGGGATAGACTATACGCATGAATAAAAGAAGCAGATTGTCCTTCCCTAAAAACACAGGATTGAATGGTGAGTTAAATTACCCTAATAAGGTAAACTTGATTATTTATGCGTAATGCTAGAATGCTAAACACAAAATTATTGACAAATAACAGTTGAGAGACCTCTGGAAATACACTGTGAAAACCAAAGTATTATTTTCAAGAACAGCAGAAAGGTAAGAGACTTTACTTTTCCTAGCAAAACACTAATATTATGGAAATAAGACAGTGAAATGACAGAATCATTTTACTTGGTAGCACAAGTCATCAAAGCAAATTGTCATCAAAGAATTGGGATTTCATTCAGTCAGGGAGATGAAAACAAACGTAGTTTCACTGACCTTAATGACAGAAGATTTGTTTTTGCTCCTTCGTGCCTGCAGATGAAACACTTCCTTGCAACTTTAAAAGGCTGAAGGAAGCAGAACACTATCTATGATCAGAAATGTGTAATAATAATAACACTATTGATAATCCAGAGGCAGCAGAAGTAAAATAAACTAAATAAATGTAACATTGCTGTGAGGCTTACAAAACATTAGGCAGGAAAACCAACATAAATATGAGGGGGTTAAAAAGTGGTATCATAGCAGAGAGGTGACAGCAGAATATTATCTATAGCTTATGGAAGAAGTGAGAAAATACGCTTTAGGTGTATCTCATACTGAAGATGGAGGACTTTTTATTATCAGCTCTTCAAATTATAATTTTGATATGTGATTTTAGAGAAAATTTACATTGCTGAGCTATAAATATTGATGGCAGTATTTACCTTTCTGTGCCAAGGGGCCAAATGCATCTCACAAAATCATTGAGAAATTTAAATTGAAAAAAATCTCAGGAGGTCATCTAGTCCAACCTCTTGTGAAAGCATGAAACTTAAAAAAAAATGCCTGTAATGGGCTTATTTACCCAGATTTTCAGTTCATATATTGCTTTAAAAGATATATTTTGTTTCTAAAACTTTCTGCTTTTACAATCATTTGCAGAGTTTCCATGTCTAAGCAATGCTCTGGTTTAGTACCTTTGAACAGGCCCGGACTCCTGCTGAATTATACAGGTCTCTACAACCACACTTTCTAATCTCCTTAGAAATATGTTTCAAGACTTACGGATTGCCATCATTTCAGTAGCTCATTTAAGGGCCATCTGGGCCATACTGTAAATTGCTGAAAAGGTACTTAACCTACTAAAGGCCTTAAACATACATACCCCTTCTTCTCTTGGTGTTTTTGTTTGCTCACTCATTTTCTTTGATGAGGGTCTGTGTGGGGAAGTGGAGGTGGGAAGGAGATTATACAGCTATATGTCCACTTTTCAGTGGGCTGTAACTCCAAGGGAGCCAGAACAAGATAGAGGAACAGGACAACAGGAATCTCATGACATTCAACAAGGACAAATGGAAATCCTGTACTTCAGACAGATTTAATGCCTGCACCGTGCAGGGAGCAACTCTCCTGGAAGGGACCTGGTGAGCAGCAGGTTACAGAGAGGGCAGTCCCCTGCTTTCCACGTTTTAATTGCATGGTCATGTTCCAATTGCATGATCCATGTACATGGATGCTCACTGTGTCACCCTGCTCCTTTCTGGGTTTCCATAAAACAGATTGAAACTAGAGGAGTTTTTGGCCCATTTAGCGCTCAGGCCTGTACCAAACTACTGCTGGTTTGGTTAAGGGCTCAAGTGTGTCCGTCACTGATGGAAACATCTCCACAAACTCAGTCTTTGACTCAAATATTTTTTTAGTCAACAAGTCATAGGATGACAGTCTTATGGATACTTGGTGAGGCCAGGGAGAGCTTACAGTGGAAAATGTATCTAACCATGCAAAATAACAGAAATGTTTTATTTATATCTTTTATAGCAGAAAAACAGCAGACAACATTAGGAAGCCTGCTTAGACATTCAAGAGAAAATTCTCAGAACTTCATTACTCAAGGCGTAAAGACTTCATATGAAACAGCAGTAAACCCTTTGCCATAGCTGCTACTAACTGGCTGCAGCCACAGAAGAGTAAAGGGCTCAGTGACCTGAGTCTGCAGCATCCCTGAAGATGTCCATGAACAATGCACCAAATGTATTCTCGGATCCAAATGCAAATCGGTTTCAAGTTAACATAATTAATGAAGGCCATGACGACAATGAAACAGCCCAAGAGGATGTGGGCTCTGACCCACCACATTATGAAGAAACATCTTTTACTGATGAAACACAGAACAGACTGAGAATCAGTTACAGACCAGGAAAAAGAGAATTATATGACAATTTCCTTCAAAATGCAGAGAAAACAGAAGCTAGTTTACATCCCTATGATACTCACACTAAAATGTATTATCTACAAACTTTTGGCCATAACACAATGGACCCAGTTCCCAAAATTGATTATTATAGAAACACTGGCAGTGTCAGTGGGAATAAACTCAACAGACCAAGCTTATTAGAAATTCATGAACAACTGGCAAAGGTAAGTGAAAAGGAAAGATACAATTTTTCTCTATTCTATTTCCAGACTGTTAATTCTGCTTATTAATATGAGAAAGTCCTTAGATTCATGGACCTTGCCCAAGAGAAAAAGTACAAGTAATTACCATATTTCCTCTGGTAGCTGCAGTCTGCTTGCTGCTCTGTATCCTGATCAAAGCAAAGATTTTTATTAAAAGGTGGTCATAAGGTACTTGATTAACAGAAAAACATTGCTTAATCTTGTCTAAAGTATGGATCTACTTAATCTCTTCTGTTCCATGTAAGAGTTAGGATGGCAGATGATAAATGTCAATTCATAATTTAACCAGGCTACACAATTCACACTTATTCTAAACGTGAATTTAACATCAATGCATAACTAATTTTGACAGATTCCTCCACTGTACTCATTAACAAATATAAGTGTTATAAAAAAGATTATGTGCAACAAATGCAATCTCAATCAGAAATCCAAAGCACTCCCTGTTTATTGCTGTAACAAACCATTCAAACTGCAAAAAAGAATCCAGAACAAGGGTGTTGAGGCTGAGAGTGTTTGCTCAGAAGAGGGATAGCAGACAAGAGTTTTCAGGTGCTGATTCAGTGAATGAATTTAGGCCTTCACACTCATTATTCCAATGAATTTGGAATGAATCTGAAGAGCTTCTTGAATGACTACATAGAAAGCATTTATGGAGGAATGATTGGGCTAAATTCCTCCTAATCTGTCAATGGAAGAGCTGTTTAGACTTTGCTCATGTAATAGATGGGGCTATATCCATGTAAAATACACTTACAGAGAGAAGTATAAAACAGAATACAACTGTCTAACCTGCCTTTGAATGATTTTGTAGAGCTGTTTCTCCTCTCTCCTTCAGAGAGACCTATTTTTGGTGGACCCACTGTAGGCATTTACTATTGATATATATGCATTTTGTGGGGAAAAAAAAAACCCTTCCCCTTAGCAGACTCTTCCTGTTTGCTCCACTTTTTCCACGTATACACCACAGTAAGTGAATAATGAAACACCAAAACATGCCCTTTATCATGATAATCCTCACTTTTGTCACCCCCCATGGCTACTTGCAGAAGAATATACATTTGTCAGGTATGATCCTCTGGGGTTTGCACGTTGAAAACTTCCACTGGAAAGAATTTGAAAAGTTGGTAATATTAAGTCTCAAATACCAGATTTTCACTAATTTCTGTGTTAGTGTCTCAGATAGGTGAATTTTGCTGTCTAGTCACCTATCTAGATATTTTAAGGGTTGATTACCCTATGTGGAAAAAAAACAAATAGCATGGAAAGCTGTAATAAGAACTTATGTGGCAAGAACAAATAGATTAAACACTTTGAAACAGTTAAACTACTAAAAGACCTACTACAAAACAGTGGAATAACATGTTACTCTACTGACTTCATAAGCCATATCTTCCCCCTTAAGCCACAATAGCAAGTTCTCTGTAAAAAGCAGAGACACAGGATACAGCTACTTTCAGAATCAAAAACCTTTTTTGAGGTTCTTAATTGTGCACTTATCAGGGCAGGGCTGGAGAGAGATCATTGCTATAGTCAAGCTGAGACTAAAAGTGCCAATATGCAGCAAAAATCCTCATTCTTTTTTCTGTGTTGGCCAATTGTGAAATGAGAAATTTTGAGAGAAAACAAGCTCTCATCCCCATTCCACTCAGTTTTACATACTTCTGAGGTCTGAATAATTTGGACAAGCATCTGATTTTTGGATGCTGGTCCAGATCTTGTTCAGACTTCCACTCTCTGCAGATTCACCTGTCGTAAGGAGGGTAATATAAAATAATGAAATCAAGAAAAAAAATAGCCATTAGCAAATTAGGACCCAGTTCTTTAGGATCTTATTAGGGCAGCTTCCTAGCCTTGGTCTAACTTACCTAAATTAAAGTATCCACAGACCTGTGTAAAATGGCTTACATGGAAAGGAGAAGCATTTCCAAAGACAAATGCAAAGTGGATATAAAAGGGAAAAAATATGAATTTGGTATCTGTATTCGTTTGCAGATGTACAAACTGCTGCTCAAGAGACTAAACACATTTCTATGCCCAGAAGAAAACTTCCTCTTATAGAAATAATTTACTTCAGTAGTGGCCAGAGAGGAGTAAAATAGTGTCTTAGCTTTGAACATAATGCTGAATGATAAGGTACTGAACATAAGCATGTTAAGGAATTTTCAGTTTTGATCATAACCAGAAAATTCCATGTTTCTTACTGCTGCATCTCTCAAAGGTTTGTATATTTTAAACAAAATGAGATAACTTTGTTTAGGTTTTTTTAAGGCTTTCACTTAGAGAAGGTTAAAAAGAAGGCAGATGATATCACAGAATAAAATGAAGGGAGAATTGCTTCACAGGTTGGGACTGTTAGGGAAAAGAACATCATCTAGCTTGGCCATTTCCATACTTTTTCCAGTATTCAGCTTACAGAAGGATAATCTTATGCCTTTCAAAACAGGAAGGTGAATGTCAGAGGTAATGGGATTTTTGTTACACTGGCAACCTGCTGTGCCCTTATGTGAGTTGTGGCCCTGGTGTGGGAGCCACTGACCACAGCCCTGGAACAAACGAGGCGCCATTAGCAGGGCTGGAGTCTGTGCCTGGCTGTCCTGGGTCTCCCTTGGTGACCTTGGGCAAATCACTTCGGTCTGCAGAGCTTATTCTGAAGAATAAACAAACACAAGGTCACTAAATAGCAGATTAGTAGGGAAGGGAATTAGGATGGTATGAAAAGGAGGATACATATCCTATCAGGAGGATAAGATATGTATGAGCAGCTGGACAGGGGCCCTGCCTGCAGCAGGAGCTCTGGCCACCAGCAAGGAGGGGATGAAATGCCCCACTGAGCAGGTACAAGGGTTACACAATAGCCCGAGGTGCAGTTCTGAAGAGGATGCTCTATTTTACTTTAACACTAAAATGAGGGCTTACCACACTACACCCTAAGGCAATCCCACCCCCCTCACCCCCAATTTGAAACTCAGATTTTGAAGACAACTATACTGTCACAAGCCCATTGCCAGATTCTGATAAGAAGTGGCATATGTTTGACTTCAGATTGCTAAACATCACATAACTATTCCCATTGTGCTTTGATGCTGGGCTTCACATCAGAAGATAAATATTAATATTTAATACTTTTTTTAATATGCAATTTTTCAAATGTCAGAATGTAAGGCAGGCTGAAAGGAGCTTCAAATATCTAGTTTCCCCACTGCTGGAGTCAAATGTGTGTCATCTTTTACCAAGACATGTCAGGTTTTTGCACATATTAAGCCACAAATCGCCAATTAAATCTCTGAAAAATAGTCTAAGTGCTACTTCACAGCTGATGGCTGCTGATAATTACTTGGGCTTAATATTTACCCTACATAAGAAATAATCTAACCTTTCTTCCTCTTGGCTATTCTCCACACTTGTTACGGAGACTTGATGAGCTCATCATCTTTAGCCCCAGGAGAGATGAAGACTAAACCATTCTGAAACAAGAAAGGAAAATGTTTGGGTTAGTTCTTTTTTATTTTTTTTAAGCAGTTAACTTTTTATTTTAGTAGTTTTTCAAAATGTTCTGTCACTTTTATTCCACATCCTTAATGCATGAGTAGCACAGGTACAGCTGCTTGGTAAATAACCAATCATTCACTAAAGCACGCCAATTTAAAATGCATTTATGGAAGGTTTAAGGCCATAATTTATGATAATGGCATAGAGAGCACAAATTAATTCAAAGTACAGAGGAAACAACTTGTTTCAAGTACAAAGACCAAACCCTTTTAATTTTTTTGTCTTTGAAATTCTAACCACTGTAGCTGATCTTCCTTAACTCACTTTAATCATTTACTGTATTTTGAGCGAACACAGCCATTATTATTTCAGGGTGAGAATTGTCAAAAGTATCTAAGTAACTCAGGAGCTCAAAGTCACAGGCTTTCAACAGATCTTGTATTCCCATTTCACTTAGGGCCAACAGGGCTGTAGGCACCAAGTTTAGTCCATGTCGAAATGTCCAGTCACTTATTTCTCATTTGTGAGTACAGTCCTGGATTTACTGTGTCAAAGGCATTCTACAGCCTTGCATCATCGTGACTAGAGCCCCCATCCATGAGGGGCAGGTCCAGATATTAGTGTAAAAGGCATATTCAGTTGGCCTTTATGTCTGTTTTGGGTTTGTGTGTTGGGTATTTTTAAGTTCACAGACAAAATACAGAAACAGCCTTAAAGTCAATCAAGATGAAAAATCTCATATGTTTCACAGAATTACAGATGTTTTTCCTCCTTGACCTGCTTGGTTAATCTGGAAATATCTTCATTAACCTCCAAACCTTAAAAGCACCTTGATTCCTCTTCAGAAGTGGTACCCACTCCTGACTCTGCCAGACTGTGGCAAGGGGCTTGGTCCTTCCTGAAGACCTTTGCAGAGGACCCAGAAAATATCTGGCAATAGCTAACCTAATGCCAGCTGCTCCCAGAACCACTGAGAGCTCTGAATAAGATAAAAAAAGAAATTAAAAGCAGCAATGACAAAGAGCATAAACCTCGGCACCATGACTAATTCCTATTCAAGCCACAAGAAAGATATCATGGTGCTAAATTGCCTCAAAGATTCTGGGGCAGAAGAGCTGAAGAGATAAAATACAGATTTATATTTGTAACCTAATATGAACAATCTAAAAATTCTGGACTATTATTCTGGTTACACCACAAATACAGCAATTCCTAATCCTATCTACTATGGTTACACCAGAGAAAGGATTATTCATTTACTACATTTCACTGGCATTTCTCTAACTGTTTTCAGGAATATGTTACCCATCTGCTGCTGCAGTTATGTTTGCACTTTATCCAACAGAAAACACTGGAGTTCATCACATAACTTCACCATGCAGCACTCAGCTCAGTCTCTTTTCACTATTGAGCAATTATCCCTCCTTCTACACTTGGAGTTATTCATAAATTGTTGCAAGAGCATGCAGAGGCCAACCAGGAGCCTCTCACTATCTTAGATGCTCTACTTACATATCAACACAATATGTATGTGGAATAGTTCACAATAAAAACACTTAAGTACAGATAATAATGTATTTACTCTGCTTAAGCGGTTCTTTCATCTTTTCTCCCTGTTAGCAAGCCCACCTGGTGATGCCTGGTGTAAGCAGAATATTGCTCTCTACTCCAGAGGCAGTAAAACCTGATCTTCTTTGGAATTCCTTTCTCCTGTGTCTCTCTTATGCAGCCAGGTGTCCTCTGCTTTGCACAAAACCGTGTTTGTTTTCTATGTGATTCTCCAGAACATCGCTGTGAGCACTGGCTCAGTGGAGAGAATGGCTAATGGAGAGAGCACAGCTGGAGAGGAGACAGCAGCCAGCAAGGAAGAGGAAAACAAAGCAGGATTTGTCAAGTTCGGATGGGTGAAGGGTGTGCTGGTGAGAAACTTACCTGCACTTCTAAACAAAAAAATTAAAAGCAAATAAAATCAGTTTTGTTACACTAAGGTCTTCTAAGAATTAAGAGTGGGAGATGGACTTGAGGGATGTTTGGGGTGTTTTTTAAAAGCCTGAAATGTACTCTGTCATGCTGCTGGTTGTTAACACTACTTTCAACATTGCACTAATGCGGTATTTTTTCTTTAAAACCTAGGTAAGATGCATGCTTAATATTTGGGGTGTGATGCTCTTTATTCGACTTTCCTGGATTGTAGGTCAAGCAGGAATTGGTATGTATCTTATTTAATATCATTTTCAACAGTGAAGGGATAAAGAGGATAAACTATACATGATCATGATTAATATATAATCTGAGATGTGCATTTGCATGTTGAACTAAATAACGTTTTCAAATGCTTGCCAAGGTAAAAGACATTAATCCTCCAAACTATTGGAATTTTCCAGACTCACAGCCAAATTACTGCTTAGAGGCACAGATCTGTTAACTATGCATATGATCATCACATTTGAATATTTCTAAGCTTTAGTGAAATTTGTATTTAGATCCTGTAACAGATGTAAACTTTATGACTCGGGCCAATTTCTAATATGTGAGTACAGAGTTAACCTTTAAGAGTTCACACTTTGCTTATCTGTGAAACCCAAACCTTGTCATCTACATATTAAAAACAACACTTCTTTACACTTCTCTGCAAGGATGAAAACAGAACTGGAAGGAGGTCTCATCTCATCAGGATTTTGTTATTTTTAACTGCAGAACAGTACTAGATACTAGTGTACTATGAAAGACTAAGTTTAAAAAACTCTGCTGTAGCTTTCATATAAATTAACTAAGTACACTTCACTATGTGCTGTATCTTTGCTTCTTCATTTTGCAATTTAATTAATCCAAATTCCAAATGCCAGTCCCTGGGAGACTGGGCCCCGAGGCCTCCATCCAGCATGTTGCTGAGTGTTCAATGAAACCAGTGAGAGAGGAAAGCTGCAAGAATCTCCAGCACTACAAGAGCAGCTCAATGAGGTGCAATTTCTGTGTGGTACAACTGCCTTTTTAGAGCTGCTGCTCTGGGGAAGCACAGAAACGTGACCTGCGATGGCACTGTCACTCTGTGATCCATGATCCTGCAATCTGGAGTGTTGGGGCCCTAATCTTTGACTGGCACCCAGATGTTGCAAAAAATGCAATCCAAAGGCATGATGGCAAGTATTCCAGTTTGGATGCTCACAGAATGGAAACATTAAGTAAATTAAGGAGCGTTGACTCTGCTGGGCTTGGATAAAACTCAGTGCTCAAAATCAGATGGTATAACTGTCATTCACTTCCTTGTTAATGGAAGTGAAATGAAACATTGAATCGAAACATCTCCAAAATTTTGCATGGAAGAAGTCTCATTTCCAATAAAATACAGTAACTTCATAGAAGTTTCACTTGAGCAAGTCTGAGCTTTTAAACAAAGAATAACAAAGGAAACGCTTATTAAGTAAAAAAATCCAGCCACAAACTTACAGAAACATAAATAGAAACAAGAAACCCAACAATAAAAGATCCAGAACTAAGCAGGAGAACTTTAGTACTTCTGCAGTGCTCCATGCGTGGCTCCAGCACTGTGCCTGACAAAAGGGTGCTTGCTGATTTTATGATGCATACCAAATGAGCACGTACAGCCCAGGGCACTCATAACTATATGCCTTGCCATGAAATTTCTGCATCTTAATATTGCCAAGACTTTGCTCTGGGGTTTCATGCAAAATTAGTTTTTAAGGGCAGTTTAGTAACTTATTGAGATCATCAAGAAGTATTACTTTGTTTTGAGGTGTGAGAATAGCCATGGGCAAGAGTAATTCATTTTGGAACAACTTACTTAGGAGCCATATGCCTGCTTTTCAATCTAAACTTTAATCAGATTTTTAACATTAATTTGCACCAACATCAGTTACAACCTTTCTGCTTTCACTTTTAATTTTACCATTTTAACTCATTGATAAGCAGACTCTCTTTCCTTAGAGTTTATTGCTCTGCTGTTGCTTTTTAAAGTTGCATGTGTTATGCAAGGAGGTTAGTTTTACTTCTGAAAATGAGACGTCAAATTCCATATGAATAATTTCTCATTGCATTTTCTGAATGTCTTATTAGCAATGAGCTTTAAGTCCCTAGCCAAGCTGCTTAAGGAGAACAGTGATGGAAGCTCATCATCACCAAGGCTCAGGGATTTCACTGGGTACTGCTACTAACATGGAAATTAAATGAGTCAGTTAAACCACCATCTGGGCACCATTTATATCCCCATCATTAGAGGGCCAAAGAGAGCAAACCCAATTATTTCCATATCCTGATAGGCTGTCTAGGGCAAAAGCTCTTACAGGGGGAAAAAAATACCATTCAACAAAGATCTGTGTTTATCATCAGCTGGGAAAAAAGGGACAGTATGGTCCTGACAAGATTCCAGGTCCAAAACTAGTCTGGTATTTTCACCTAACATCTGAGGACTACATGTACCTGGAATGGTTAGCCAAAGGAAGGGAAAAACACCAAGTTTATGTTACCTGAAAATCTGGCCCTGAATATTACAATTATGTTGTTATGTTATATGACAATGTTTTGGTTAAGTCACTGCATTTTATGCACTTTTATTCTTAAATCTTACAATATTTTTTAAAAATTAACATTAAAGTCTTTCTATGAAGATGTTACTATCAAGTTAACAACTCTGTATATCATATACACGTTAGCGACATGAATTGTGAAATGCAATAAAACATCCTTGAAAAATACTCCTTAGGATGCACATGCACTTACCAAATAATTTTAAAACTACTTTAAGAATAATATGTCTAACTTATTCAATTTAAGAGTTAACAGCTGATTAAAAATCATGTTCAGCCACTTCTCAGACACAAAATTTGCATGGTTTAACCTTCTGTGTAATGGTAGCTGACCAAAAGGAATGACTGTTTGGATTTCTTTTTGTACAGACCTGCATACAAAAAGCTGCATGACTAGTTAGAGTTCAGAAATCAATAGGATAAACATAATTTATTAGAGGCTCAAATCACTTTGAATATCCTACACCACGCTATATATCATTTATGTCTTGCCCATGACATCTTTCTGTCTTAAAGGACTGTGATAACATGGCTATAATTTAAGCAGCAAAGAACATTCACTCAGGGACTGGGTGGCTATAACCATCCAGTATGAACTGAAGTCAGGAATCTGATCTGGAAGCCAGAAGGTAGAAATAAACCAGATGAATCGATCAGTTTGTAGTACTTCTTGCTCAGTGATAGTTGTCAGATCCAAGTTTCAATCTGGATGAGCCCTGGTCAATAAATATTGCTACAGGCAATGTATGTTCTCCAGTTCCACACTGAACACCTGTGCACCTCACAGACACAAGGCAGCTACATAAGCCTTAGCAAGCTCAGATAAAACTAAAAACTGATTGTTAACAGAAACCTGACCATATAACCAAAGACTGGAAACGTTCTCAAATTTCAGAGCATAACTTAAACTAAAACCCAGTTCATCTGTAACTAATCACCTTTCACTGATCTTCAGATGTTTGATTATTTCTGTTCAATTACTCAAGTTTGTGATATCAGCTAAAAAAAAAGAATATTCTAAGTTCTCTAAGATTACAGGTCACCTGTTAAAGTAAATGGCATCTAAAAAGCAGTATTTCCATTTTCAAATGTTTGTCCTGTGTTAGACTAAAACTACTTTTTGCAGGGAAAGAGAGAGATGAGGACATCACTCAGGTTTTGTCTCTCAGCCTGACTGACTCTTTGTCCTGGTGCACTATGAATCTTCCTCTGACTCACTATTTAATTATCTGATGAAAGACAGCAGCATTCTTACAAGAGCTCTGGTTAAAGTATCAATCTCCTCATTTAAACAGCCAGGATGCTTGTTAAAGGTAGATACAAGTTTCCATGTCAAGGGACACTTGTTTGTTCATTTCCTCCAGCCTTTGAAAATCATGAGAATTTCTGGCTAGAGTACTCCTATCACAAAGAATCACTGCTTGAAGACTGATGGGAATAATTTACTACCATGTCATGGCCTCCATGAAAATGTTCTCCAAGCTGCAAATGGTCAACAAACCATCTTTTCAGTTTATTGCTCTGATTCTGGCCTGAAAATTCAATTTAAAGAGAGAATGATTTGTAGGAAACATGGAACATGAGTAAAATATTTTATCTTCTTATTACTGACAGGTCTTGGAGTAATCATAATTCTCCTCGCCACGATGGTAACCTCAATTACTGGGTTGTCAACTTCTGCAATAGCAACTAATGGGTTTGTCCGTGGAGGTAAAAATCTTAGGGTTACTAATGCTTTCAAGCCCAAAAAGGTATTTATGTATTATTTCCGTGTGAGACAAACCAGAGGGACGATAAACCAAGTGGTACATCTAAAGGAAGGTAACAATTCTAGCCACCTCTCATCACAATTTAAGGCATGCTTTAATAAACCACAGATTTCAGTTCAGTCTGAGAAGTACATTTCAGGTGTTCCTGCCTGCTGGGAGCGAGGGATGGCTGCTGGCTTTCCATGGCTGCTCTTACCTTTCAGCTGGTCTTTCCTGTTCAGAGCATTCCAGGTTGGACATCCTTCAACAAACTGAGCATGGAGACACCTCTTCCTCTCATTTTAAATACTGATGCACATCAGTGGATGCCTTCAGTTTAATGCCTTCTTTATAACACTTCTTACATTTCAGCCACTCCTTGGAAGACGAGTAAATGATTTTGCTGTAAAAGTGCATGTCAGGTATTTTATGAAACAAATTTCTAGTGCATTTCAGAGCCTTTAAGTTCTATCTGGCCTGGTCTAACCTCTCTGGAAAATGGCAAGTTCTTACTACGTCATTTAAGCACAACAGGTACTGGAATACACTTGAATATACTTTCTTTTTCGGATCTTTCAGGTCTTGGAATCATAGTTATTGTTCTGAGTGTAGTAGTAACAACATTGACAGGTATCTCCATGTCTGCCATTTGCACTAACGGAGTAGTAAGAGGAGGTAAGTGATTATGATCTCATGAAAAATACAAAAATCTGCAGATTTTACTTAGAGAAATAAATGGAATTGAGATAACTGTGTTAGAAGCAAAGAAATAATAAGCAAATATATTTGCAGTGATTTCTTTCAGTGCATCAACAGCAAATTAAAATGTATATAAACTTAATGCAAAAAATATTAAAGATTTACTGCAGGAGCTTAAACAATGTACCACAGAATATGATCCTTCATGCTAACACTGGGACAGATCCATGTAAGTTAGAACCTGTCTGGAAGTGAGGTTCTCTCTCCTTTGTGTTATTATATCATGTATCATGAAAAATTATAACAAGGTCCAGTTTTGCATGCTAATGTGCACTAAAAGATTTCTGCAACAGAAAGGCATACTGAGAAGTCTGAGAGCAGAACCAGTACAAAGCACATTGCTTTTCTGTAAGTGCCCTCTATCAACATAGGGCAAGGTTCAGTTATATTTGTGAGGCTGAAAGCACAGATTTCTGCAGTAATTGTTCTGTGGGGAAAAAACAGCAAAAACTGAGCATTTAGTTGTGGCAAAATAACAGTCATTTCTGTCTGCAGGTGGAGCATACTATCTTATCTCAAGGAGTCTGGGCCCAGAGTTTGGTGGATCTATAGGACTTATCTTTGCCTTTGCCAATGCAGTGGCAGTTGCCATGTATGTAGTTGGATTTGCCGAAACAGTTGTGGAACTTCTTAAGGTAAATGTAGATGTAGATGTTTCAGGTATATGGTTAAGTTAGTTTAGTTTTTTTGTGTTTTGTGTGGCCTTTTTTTTTTTTAGGGGGTGGTGTTTGTTTTACATAATATATTTGTTTAAGTGGTGATACTTTTTAGCTAAGGCTTGAGGGACATTTTTAGCAGGGAAGGAGCTGGTGTGTCTAAACATGCCACAGAACAGTAGGCTGTTCTCCATTATTTCTACCTTATGAATATATTTCATACATTTCTTGACAAGAATCTCAAAATCAGAAGAGGAACAGACATCTAATTAGACAGCCAAATAACCCCAACTGCAGAAGGCCAGCTGGAACATGAAATACAAACACTTGGTCTCATAAATCTCTGCAACTTTGACAGCTCACTGCTCTCTACTTCACCTTGTTACTTGATCCCACCAGTTGGGCAGAGAAACACTGGTTCTATTAACATTTCTCACTGCTTTCAGGAGAGTGATACCCTGATAGTAGATGAGTCCAATGACATCAGAATCATAGGCACCATAACTGTTGTCTGTCTTCTCGGCATCACTGCTGCTGGCATGGAATGGGAAGCAAAGGTAAACCTTTAAAAGAACATTAAAGCAAGTGGTATTTTAGCCTACTGTACAGAATTTGTGTGTGAGGAATGCTACACAACAGGTAGAATTTTCAGAGGCACCCAGTTTCAGTTTATGCTTAATCTTTCTGAAAGCAAGAGCAGTTTAATCATTACATTCAATGAAAGCACAATTACTCCACACTCTTCCTTGAACATACATTTAAAAGCAAAGAGGAAGTTTGTGTTCTGCAGACAGCTTGGTTATATTGATTTTTATAATTCATGGCTTCATTTAGAGCCTTGGCTAAGTGCCCCTTTTGCCCTTATTTTTGATGCAGTTTGACAGAATAAACAGTAGTAAAATATTGTTTTATCACTGTACTCTTTCAAGCCCTGCTCAGCAGAAGATCTCTATTTGCTACCCATTCCTTAATCTCTAATGATTTCTGCTATTCCTTCACCTGTAAAAAAAGGTCAGAATGCAAATTCAAATGGAAATACTTTAGAGGGTGTAATATAGCTATTGAAATCAGGACCAGAAAACAGATTCAACAGCATCCTTATTTTTACATTCTGCTGTGATGGAGACTAGAACTACTTGAAAAAGAGATCAGAAAACAATTTGATATTACAACCCTTGAAGTCACAACTCACTGCAACTAAACAAATTTTATAACAATATAAAAATGTCTTATACTTGATATTAATGCATTACTGTTCCATTTGCCTTTCCTTGTATAAAGAAACTAACATAAAATTAAATTATAACTACATATTTCATTACTCCCTTAGTAAAAAGTACCTGCTGTTGTCACTAGCTGATTCAGCTATCTTGATTCCTGGTAGTTTGTAAACCTACAGAAATTAATAACCTGTCATAGGGAACATATACAGATAACTTACTATATAGCCATCTCCACAGCAACACAAATTAAAACTAACAGGAAAATCTTTTTGCTTCTATTAATAGGCTCAAGTTATTCTTCTAATTGTTCTCCTTGTTGCCATTGCAAACTTCTTTATCGGGACAGTCATTCCTACCAACACCGAAAAGAAGGCAAGAGGCTTTTTTAATTACCAAGGTAAGCAACCTTGCTATCATAAAATTATGATTTGCATTCTTTTGGCTTAGCAGTAAGTTAAGGATTCCACTGAAAAAGGTCACAAGATCAGAATCTTCTGCCCAAGTTTAAGTGAGCTTGCAAACAAAGGGAATTTATTTCATCTTTAATTTTGAGTCTGTCTCTCTGCTGCTGAAGTTGACAGCACAGTGAGCTGCAGCTTGAGTCATTTATACATCAGTAGAGCACAGACAAACTTTAACACAGACCTAAGTGCAAGTACTGCAGTGACAATTCTGTCACTTCCATATGGTTCTGTAGCTCTGAGATGCAGACAACCACATCCTACTGGGGACCAGACTGAGGAAATCAAATTCATTTTGCTTATGATATGAGACACATTCAAACCCAGTCTTCCAGATGTGAAAGACTGGCTTATTCTCTTCATTCATTAAGTAACTTTGGAATCAAATCCTGGTGGTGTATTTCATTTTCACCTGTATTTGCAGCATCAATATTTGCAGAAAACTTTGGACCGGATTTCAGAAGTGGAGAAGGATTTTTTTCGGTGTTTGCCATTTTTTTCCCAGCTGCCACTGGCATTCTTGCAGGAGCCAACATCTCAGGAGATCTGAAAGTACGTATTTCATTAACTTCATAATACTATCTGTAGGCTGAAAAAAAGAACAAGAAAACAAATCATGAATCAACTCTGTATTCAGTTTTAAACCATGTCTTATTTTGGGAAGCAAAACTCTCACTTTTAAGTACCTGATTTATTAATTGAAAACATCAGTTCACATCTTCTCTCATAAGCATTGTGGCCATTTACAGAAATTACCGCAGTTAGATTTGGGTTATTGTATCATTTAAAAGCATGTTTCAATAACCTGTAATAATATATCATTAATGGTCCATTAGCAGCACATGACATAAGAGAAATTATATGTGCATCTCTTAAAGCTTGTATTTTGTAAACATCAATCCAAACATCACCCCAAAAACCATACCTGTAAAGCTCAAGTTTGTACTCACAGGAACTGGCAGAGACCACCTTTTGTATTCAGGGTCATAGCAAGGGCAGAGCAAACAGGGCATTTAACGAAAGCAAGTATGTCCCAATCCCATGTCACTACTGCTGCTCAAAGGAAAAGCTGCAAGCTTGCAGCTGTGACAAAAGAAAGGAGTCTGAAGAGAAAGGGGAAGGAGGTCCAAGGGTGACCAACTGTCTTGCTGTGGTCATTCTGTCTGTTCCCCACTCTCCTCTTGCTGTTTGGCAGTTGTAGGGGATGATATTTCCAGCATCTAAAATTACAGGTAAACTAGAGACAGGAATTTAGTTTCGAGTGCCCTCTAGTTTCCATCACAAAAACATCCAACCCCCCCTCCAAATTAAAAAGAAAAATAAAAAAAAGTCACCAACAAGATGTCACTCACAGCTTGATAACCCCAGTATGTCAACCTAAGTTATTTGGCCTTCTCATATAAATCCATTGCCTTGGATACCCTAAGGATTCATCCAAAGGTCTGTTATATCTGTACTGGCATAGGAGTCACAAGCTAACCACATCCTACCACACTTGACAGCCAGTTCTCTTCCTCACACTGAGCTGATGCCTCATCTCCTTTGTTTTCAAAGGACTGCTTTTCAAGCCAAGCACAGAGAGAACTACATTGAAACTGAGCCACTGATAGCGTCAGTGAGATTCTAGTTTTAATTAAAAAACCAAAAATCATTGTACTTCTGCCCAGTGAGACTGAATCAGCCTCACACAATCTCCATCCTTTTAACAAACAAAAATAATTCTTTTGCCATATATGGTGCTCTCTCTACATGGCAGCTCCCAAAGCAGCAGCACTTCTTTCATAAGCTGTTTGAAAGAATCCGAGCAGAGTTCTCCCGTTGGATCTCTGCAGTTGTTTCAGTCTGACAATAAGTGGATTTCTATAAGCAAGTCCTCCAGACTGCAGATCCCCACTGAGCATGTTTAGATGCATTAGACAGGTCTAATTAAATTAACCAGCCTCTCCAGAAACCTAAAAGACAAGCTAAGGAGTGTTTAAAAAGTGTAATATTGACCAACGAAACTTTCTTTGGAATTTGTTGCAAACACCTTCATACATGCTCCTGCAGCCACTATACACTCAAGCTGTGTCTTAGTCCAAAGCCTACTTCCAAAAACAGATAGTCTTCCTGGTGACTTCAGTAGGGTTTGGAGCAGCCCCTAAAGTGCTAACAACATAGTAAATATGTGTTTGATTTTTAACAGAATTTAAAAGTTGTAAAGCTGTAGAAAGACTTAACCCTAAGATTTAAGGTTACAGAGTTTAAGATAACCACATTAGACTCTAGATGACCTGAAACATGCACACCAGAACTGCATAAAGTTGCCAAGGTCTGAAATCAAAGGGTGTTAAATGCAGATCAAGTGACTTCAAAACTATTTTTCAGCTCAACAAATCTTTACATCATTTAAAAATTATATTAATTATTAACAGGTTTAAGCCATTCATCCATGTTTCACATTGTTTTTAACCATGCAATGACCATAGTTATAAAAAGTCTGTGACTTAAAATGCATTCAACTCATTTTTGATTTAAAAAACCTTACTAAACCAACTTAAGAAGACAATTAATAAAAAATGCTTCCTAGCTTAAACAAACACACCCTAAATTGTAAGGTTATCTAGCATTAAAAACCCCTTAAAAATGTATAATGCAGATCTTTGGACTCAGAGTTGCATGATCAAAGCCAATATTGTTGTGAGCTAGCCTGTAAGCATCACAACCCAGCCTTAGTAAATTACCTAAATTAAATGTCAAAACAGTGAAAGAAAGTAGCTGTTGTAAAGACCCAACTAACAATTACTAGTTGCTAATCACAGAAGTCCTGTATTCTGTACAGGGTCACTGCATCCATCTCACCAATTAACCAAAAATGGTCCCATCTTGTCATCCACAGGAGTTTGATGGTTGGTTCAGTAATTATTTAGCGATTACATCATCAAACATTAAAATAAAGCCAACTGCAATGTAAAGAGAGTTTGGAGCTCTCAGAAATGCAGAGATCAGGACCCTCCTACTGCAATAAATGTGACCTCTGCTCCTGTACAATATCCTTCACTGTGTCCAGGACAGGAGCACTGCACCACAGGACCACTTCACACTGTCTGCGTGCTGGGACCTGAAATGTTGGTGTAGGTCAAGGGATAAAAATCTGCCCTCTAAGGGTATCTTCACACCACAGTGTGGCAGGACTCCCAGCAGGCAACTGCAATCAGACTGCAGCACACAAACTCACAGTGTTTTTCGTGTCCCTGCTTTGTTTTAAGGATCCCCAAAGTGCAATACCCCAAGGAACAATGCTGGCCATCCTCATCACCACCATTGCTTACATTGCCGTGGCCATTTGTGCGGGTGAGTACAGAACCTCTGCTTCAGGTCTTCATTTGTACTGTTCAGTTTGGAAGCCTGGTATGCAAATGAATGATTAACCACACTGCTTTTTAATCCTGTGAACTTATTATGTAGAGAGACAGTAGTTTTGATTTTACTGTATGTAAAAACAGTGAGGGGGAAAAAAAGCAACAATCAGCAGAAATGAAAGTGTCTTTTTGGTAGCTGGACCTTCATATAACTTGTATGGTTACTTTTGCTGACAAAGACCACTAGCATATAGTATCCACAAGCATAGTAAAGATGAAAGGAACCTCTGATCAATCTGCTGATCTTTTGTTCCTTGTTCACACTGAAATTTCACATGGCTTGTGCTTTCTCTCACTAGTCTCACTCATGAGAATCACAGAAACAGGGTAACACATTTTGTATGTCATATGTCAAAGACACAAATCAGTTCCTGTCTTACAGAAGATACACAACTCCATGCTCTACAGTATTGGAACGTGAGGTGACAACAAAGTGGACACAAATAAAAAGGAGACCTGTACTGAAGCCCTGAACTGTGTTGGAGGATTATGCAGTTAAATCCTCATTATAAGCAGACAATAAATCTCTGGTCAAGAAAAATATTTTTCTTTATGTATTTAATAGTACTGCAAGAAAGAGGGTTGTAAATGACACCCCTTCTTATGAGCAAATACCTCAATCCTGCATGAAAGCCCTGCAGAGTACTTCCTTTTCTGGGAGATGACTCTCAAGTCTTCTTGACTTTTTTTGTTCTTGTACTTTATGCAAAAGGCAGAATGCTTGACTCAAGCCTCAGCTCAGGTCACTGCATTATTTGGATCTAAATTCCCCCTGCAATTTAAGTTGAAGTAGTCATTCTTCACTTTCTATTATAAATTTCCTTTCCATTATAAGTCGTTGTTGTTTGTTTGAGAACATTGCACAAGCAATAGCTGTATTTCAAATTCAGAGCTGCGTATTTTTCAGGGCACTATTTCCTTTTTTTTTTTTTTTTCTGTTTGCATATTGGTTTCCTAAGTAGACAATGGTTATTTTGGGACTCTCAATGTTTTTGACATATTTGAAGTTATCATAAAAACTTACATTTTGGCCACTAAGGATGTTGAGATCAGCACTCCAAGCTGCCTCCATGTGTTTTTTCTCGTTTCTGGTGGCAAGCAAATGAAGACAACATGAATATCAATAAACACAAAAAGAATATAGGCAATTTCTCCTGTTTTTTTCATCATATTGGTATCAGTAGGGCTATGACAATTTGAATAGCTGAGGATCTGGGTCTCTAAAGCAATTGCGTGTCCTTGTTAAACAGAAAAAAGGTGCATGCCTAGACCTAAGACCCTCACTAACCTGTTTCCTTTGAATACTGGCACTTGTAAAAGTAGTGACAAGAAGACAATATATTTTCTGAGTTAGTTAATTTATTGTTGATTTCTGTCTTGCCTAATCTCAGAAATATGCTAATCCTCACTAGTCAACTGGCTGATTATTCTAAAAGTAACAGAAGGAAATATTTGCCTACAGACACCATGATAATCTAAGTCATAGAACAGGGTAGTAATCTCTGCCCAACAAAAAACGTTGCTCTCGGGATGAGTCAAAGGTAGCAGTTGGACAAAATGTGTGCAGATTAAGAGTCAAACGGCAAGAACATTCTTCCAATGTCACAAGGAATGAAAATAATAATATATGATTGTTTCCACAGCCTCCTGTGTTGTACGAGATGCTACTGGGAACATCAATGATACAATTGTACCTGGAATGAGCTGCAATGGATCATCTGCCTGTGGCCTAGGCTATGATTTTTCCAGATGTGCAAGTCAGCCATGTGATTACGGGCTGATGAATAATTTTCAGGTTCTAATGACATAATATGTATAATCATAAGCAATACACGAATACATAAGTACAAACATTCAAACCCATTATTTACAGACAACTAACTGCAACAGGACAACCACTTTTATCTAAAAAAGGAAGGAATTACAGGAATAATGAAAGGCAAAAATCACCTGCATTCCATAACATCTTCATACTGCCCGTCACTAGCCTTCCTAGCAGTCTGGTAAAGTCTTTATCTCCTCTTTCAACAAGTACCATGCAGCAGTATATGCTGTAACATCTTCAAACTGAAAGCCTAAACTTAACAGAGACTTCAGGAACTGTTAGATGAGCAACTCACCTCACTGCTCTTGACACATGGATGTGATTTTACCTCAGGGGTGCTGTGGTCACTGTTAAAGGTTTGTGTCGTGGTACAAAAAACAGAGTTCTGACTTCTTTAAAAAAAGTATCCAAAAATAGTCGAGTGAAAAATCAAGTGAGAAGTAATGGGGTCTTTCTCCTAGGCCAGAGAGAGACTGTCTGCCATTTTTATTCTTCAAAATAAAGCATAGGCAAAGCATCAAAGTAAAGCAGTTCTGCAGCCTGACAACCACAGCTCCCAGATCTCTGTTCAGCCCCTGTCCTTCATGGCCCACAAGAGGAACTCACCACCCACCTGCACTTGCTTTTCAACTAGTCATTTGTAGCTTTTAAACTCACTTGCTTTTTTCCCAGCTGGCTCTGCTAAATGACAGGGCTGGGTAACCACCTTAAAAGGGATATGCTGTCCCTTTCACAGACTACTTTCCTTTCCTTTCTTGATCTTTTACCATCCTCACTCCCACATCAGTTCAGCTGCCCAGACCTGGGGCACCCCTTTACATCAATGACCTCCCTACAGCCATAAACGGAGTTGCACTTGTTGCATTTACCTTTGCCAGACTAAAGTCAGGAAACAATATATCTTCATCTGACAGATCTTCAGGATTAACTGGTTTCTTTCCCGGAGTCTTCCCACACACCAAAAAGCATCTGACAGCCACAGCCATCTATCTTTTAGTTTCCTTGTCTGGTGCTTCTCAACATCCCTTTTGCTTCAGTGGTCACAGAGGCCAGTCCAGCCCCCCAGGAGGGCTCAGGGAGGCCTAACAGGAACCAACATTGCTGTTTGCAGCACTGTGGTTATGCCTACACAACCAGGCACTTTCTCTCTTTTTTAGCCATATTAAATAATCAAGGAAACCCCAAACAAAATCAAGTGCCTCCAACCACGTTTCATACTTTGGTGCTTTTTCCTGCCATTTCCATTTTCCTCTCTTACTACGAGCTGGCTATTTACTTGTCAAGTAGAGGCTGTTACTTGTAGCAATCAGTTAGTAAAGGCAGTGAGAAAATCTCAGAGAGTACTCATCTGCCCCAGCAGACAGCTGCATACTTGAATAAAAATTTTGCCATGCCCCCATTGCTTTTTATTAAAAGAGAAATAATAGTATTTCCTTACTTCACAGTTGGTTTGTAGCAGATTGAATTTAGAACCATGAAAAGCAGAGACACATAGAAAACAAGAGTACTGTCAACAAAATCTGCATCTAAATGTAAGCCTGACTATTCTTTTTACCTTTTTTTTTTTCATAAAGGTGATGACTGACTCTTCTTTTTACCTTCTTTTCTTCATAAAGGTGATGAGCATGGTGTCTGGCTTTGGTCCTCTCATCACAGCTGGCATCTTTTCAGCTACTCTGTCATCAGCTCTAGCATCTCTTGTCAGTGCACCCAAAGTCTTCCAGGTAAAATTAAACTATCCATTTCCTTATACTCAGTTTTACTTCAAAGACACAAAATTTAGTTGAAGTCTATGTGCCAAATGTAATATATATTTAAACAACACTGACACCTGTGGGAGGAAAAGGCAGGGAAAACAGTATGTACAATGTTTTTCAACAGAAATAGGCAGATTTCATCCTCATACAAGGGCAACAATATTCCTTTGGTCAGAGCTCAGCTTTGTTGCAGGAGTGGGGATACACACGTGTCTGTTATAAATAGCTTGAAGGCTACAATAAGCTTTAACTATAAATATTTTGTGCAAAGCACCTGCCCAGCTTTCCAGAAGTTGTCTGGGAAGCAGCAATGTGGAAAGAGTGGGAGCAGAGGGCATGGGACAGAGAGATAACCTGTACAAATTACACCAAGCCACTGATTTGGGCTTCAATTTCCCCCAGTTTAGATTCCATTTAACTATTTAATTAATCTTTTCTTTTAAAGCACTGAATAAGCATTAAATGCCTGTATTTCTGTTTCCCACTATATAATAACATAGTAGCACATTGTCTTATCACCTTATTTAAATGTTCATGTGCCATGGCATTGATGTATTTGAAGTACTAAGATATATCTAACTTGTTTAGCGAATGCCCAGCAAGCTGCCACTCACAGTGACTTCTGATGCAAGAAAGCACTGCTTAACAGAATTCCGTTCTGATTTCTTACCAGGCTCTTTGCAAGGACAATGTCTACAAAGGGCTCGAGTTCTTTGCCAAAGGATATGGAAAAAACAATGAGCCCATCAGGGGATATGTTCTCACTTTCGTGATCGCTATGGCATTCATTTTGATTGGTTTGTATAAAGTAACACAACTGCTATAATACCATGTTCTGAAATTATACAAACTGATATCTTGATACAATTATTAGCTATGGTTAGAAAAATTTCCAGTCAGGTAAGCTCTGACATAAACTCAAGCACACTCAAAGTCCTGGTAGTAGTTCCATTATTCTTAATGAAGGCAAAAAAACCCCAACAGGGATTCTTGTGACATCTCAACACCACTACAGCCTCATTTTCAAAGATGCAGTTTCAATTCCTGTTCACTCTGCTGGAAGAGGGCAGTGTTTAGAGCTATATCAAATAAGGCAAAGTCACAAGCTTTGAAAATGGTTTTCCAGTTTATATTGCACATAGCTCTGAGGTAGTCCTGAGACAATCAGGAAGCCTACTCTGCCCAAACCTTCCCAACAGTCAGGTCCAAAGTAAATCAGTTTGCCAGCACTTGTGGTAGAAAATCCCACCTACCATATTTAGGGGTGTGAGAATCTTTAAATCAGTTTTTCCAAGATTAGAAATTCAAACTGTCTGACACTAAGTAAATAGGATATCTAGTAGAGATAATTCAGATTTCCATTTAAAAAGCAAAACAATAAGCTTTAACTATAAATATTTTGTGCAAAGCATCTGTCCTTTCAATTATGTATTTAAAATTCTTAACTTTACACCAGATCTACATTGTTAAGAGACAGCCTGTAGAATCACAGTATCAAATATAACCTTGCACAGCACATAATGTTATTAAAATCAGCATTAGCAGACATAATTCATATGAATGTACGTATATCAAAGTGGCCTTCAATTAGTAAGACAGTAAAATACCCAAGCTCTCCCTGGATGACAAATTCAGAAAATGTTCAGATTTAATGCATCATTAGGAAAAAGCCAGCCAACAGTCTAGGAACCTGGTGCCTATGTCTGACTTGTGTCTATGTCTTGCAGCTGAACTGAATACCATTGCTCCCATCATTTCCAATTTCTTCCTGGCTTCCTACGCCCTGATTAATTTCTCCTGCTTTCACGCCTCATACGCAAAATCTCCAGGTGAGTCTGCATTCACTAGTGATTTAAATGTGGGCTTTCTGACCTCTGCAAGTTTTTTACTGTATGTCAGAGGAAATTGCAGCACATGTAAAATACCTAGGCTATGTGATCTGATGTTTTACTGCTCTTATTGAATATGAAGACATTTTATTTATCTCCAAAAGATAAAAATAATGGCTCTAGTCCTTACAATCTCTACAGTTGTACAGGATGAAAAAATACTTCAGGGGATCCCACTGGAGCAAAAAAAGCTCCTCCTAAGAGTGTTTTCCCCTCACTGTCACAAAACATGGGTGGATAAAAGCCTATGCCAACTCTAGCCACATAAAGCAAGGTATAGTGGGGAGTAATCATGTCCTTCTCCTCCAAATCTACAGTGAAGTGTATGGGGAGGTTCATACGAACAGTAATTGCAGTAGAGTGATCCTGCCTGGAGAGGAACATGTAGAGCAAGAACAGGTCCCCCAGACAGCACCAGCACATCTCTGCAGTACCTGGAAGCAGAACTGTAAGGTGAAATGCAATGAGATCCTGTTCAGGGATAACTTGAGATCCTCTCTCTATATTTGTGCAGCAAAGGAACATAGTGGCTTTCAGGCTTACGCATTGCCACAGCAGAGTGATTCTCACATCTTCATGAATGAAGGGGTGACACCTCCAGGACTAAAGCCAATCAGCTGAGCAACTCTGGGTTTGCACATAAGAAAGACAATTTCCTGATGCTATGAATTAATTATTCAACTCAAGGAGTGAGGAATAAATTTTTGATTTCCAGTGTGAAGAAACTGCAATAGCAACACATCAGCTTCCTTCCTATAGAGCTGCATAGTGTCATTTGTTCAGAGGGCAGAAAAGATGAGCACTTCTGCTAATTACCTGCACAGCTGAACAAATGCAGATATGCTCCACATGGCCTTGGAGCTGAGTAACAATTACCTCTACAGACTTCATCTGCCTGCATCTGACTCTACCACTATTTAACATTTCAGACAGAACTGCAGCCATTTTTCTTTTCTCATTTCCTCCAGTTAATTTCTGCCAATTCACAGTGATAGATTATAATAATTGCAAGGCTGCAGGACAGCAAATTTCTTCACAGCAGGTCCTTCCCATTCCCTCATTACAAAGATGATCCAAGACAGGATCTTGTATCTTCTGTGTTTTTTCCCTCTCCAAAGAGTGTGCTCTGTAGAACACCTGGCAGAGACCTGCAAACCATGGAGGCTCACTGCTTGCCTCATCATTTTAATTGGTAGCAGGGGATGGATTCAGTGCTGCAGCTGAAGAGCAGCAGGAATAATATCTTTTTAAAGTCAATTGCAAATGGTTTTATTTTTCTGCAGTGAGGTCAGGAGATTTCCAATTTCAGACAGGTGCACTTACAGTATTGGGATAAACTCTCCTCTCAGCAAGTGTTCAGCTACCAATAATAAGTTCTGTGTATATGCATCAAAAGGACAGTCACCAATTACCTGGAGTTACAGGAAAATCTGTTTCTGATGTTCTGAAATGTTCTGAACCAGTAAACTTTAATTTGTGAAAAATACCTTTAAACAGAATAGCTACTCAAAGCCACGCTGAGCAAAGCAGTAGGAAATAGCAGAAGGCTTGTAAGACCCCATATTCTGTGCATGTTGAAACCTACAGCAGCCAACACTTAAAAGTATCTGTTGATGCAATGCCTGAGAATTTGCACATATCACTCCCACCCCTTCTGACAGAGCCTGAAACAAACTGCACATGGGTTTGTATACACAAAAAACATGAATCACCATTTCATCCATATATTTTATGCTCTTCCAATTTTCTCAATTGTCTTTAAACAGGTTGGAGACCTGCATTCAGGTATTATAACATGTGGGTGTCACTTTTTGGAGCCCTGCTATGCTGTGGTGTGATGTTTGTCATCAACTGGTGGGCAGCTCTCATCACTTATGCCATTGAGCTCTTTCTATATATTTATGTAACATATAAGAAGCCAGGTAAGGCCAAATCCTGCTATTATTCTGTGTATATGTTATACAGCCAGACTGGATTTTAAAGGAATTCATTCTGCTTACAGAATTAGCAATTACTTTTTCTCTGATATCTTTATTTAGAGGCAAGCCTGAAGCATCCCATTAAATTCCACTTTATATAATATAGATTAAGTTGATAATCTGGTGAATGTTTGCCTATTTAACAAGTACTTCAAGTATGGTTCAGGGCTTTCTGTAAACATTCCAGCAGACTGGTTTATTCCCATCACATCTTTATGACATTGGGGCTTTTACTTGAGTATCACTCATAATTTTTTTCCACCCACACACAAAACCTTACCTGAATTTTGCAGTGCTCCCAGCTGACTCATCCGTGGTCATCACTCAAAATTTAAACCTGCTGCCCATTATACAACAACAAAAATGTAATCTGAATTACTCCTGAACTGATCATCCTCCAGCACCTCCTTACAATCCCTCCATAAATCAAAAGAAGATGGGCACACTTTACTGCTGGAAAAAAACTGCTTAGTAGCTCAGCAAATCACAGGAGGTGTCGTCAGAAATCTGTGTGCTAATACAGCCCCAGTATCAGACAAGACAGTCTGGTTATTCATATCCAGGACAAAACTAACCCAGGTCCAGATTTCAGTGCTAACCACCTGAATTACTTCTGCAGTATAAAAAAAAATAACACAAATAAAAGGGACAAGTTTCCCAGGAGAAGATGTGCCTTTGCTGCAGCCAGCTGGGGACAGAAACACCTGGTCTGACACTTATTCTTTTCTGTGTATTGCTGCACTGTTGTGTGTCCTCCCTGTCTGCATTTTCATACCCATTGGGATGGCCTGTGGTTCTTTCCTGTAAATATATCAACAGGTGTAGGAGAACACACCTGTCACAAGGCACTTGTCAAAAACATTTACTTGCATGGGGTATTTTTGCATCACACAAGCAAAACCTATTATTGAGAAGCACAAAGAACAATAGGTCTGTATCTATGAAGTATGAGAGAATATATCCTGCTTTTTTCACAGAGCACCTGATTGCTGACTTTTGCAACAGAATGTAGGGAAAAGCCCATGGTTTAATATGCATTATTTATCTCTATTATATGCAGAAGTAAACTGGGGCTCCTCTACACAGGCTCTTTACTTTGTTAATGCCTTAGACAGCGCTCTGGCATTAACTACAGTGGAAGACCATGTGAAAAACTTCAGGTAAGATTTTCAGTGAACAGTAGAATGGCTTATCCTGGACATGTACATCAGCCAAACATATACAACCTCTTTTCTTCCTAACAGACCTCAGTGCATAACACTAACAGGAGCTCCTATGATCAGGCCTGCTCTGCTGGACATCACACACACCTTCACCAAGAACAACGGGCTGTGTATCTGCTGTGAAGTGTTCACGGTAAGGTCAGCTCAGACAGATCTGGAAACTCAGCCCCAGTGGGTGCTGCAGGTCTCCATTACACATTCCACTCTCACTCAGCACACAATGTTCCTGTTGGTGCTGGTCTGTGTCTGTGCAGACCATGACAGAGACTCGCACTGAGAAGGAATTTTGTCATAATTCTTGACATGAAAGCCATCAGCTGATACGGAGCCTGCTGGTAAATGCCTCATTGAGATGCATTTCAGAGTTCATAGCAGATGGACCAAAAAATGGTTTGAAAAAAATAGAACATTACAAGGAAAGATTTTAGGCTTAGAAGACAGAAAAACCCCAAATCACACAACACATAAAATTTGAAGGATTATTGTGCAAAAGTCAAATTACCCAGGCTCCATTTTCGGCTTTGTCACTGATTTGCAGTGTTAGGGTTTGGCAAGTAATTCAGCTCCCTTTGCAGTGGTTCCTCCAAAACTGTTAGAGTGCTAATTCTGAGGATAAACATGCTCTTCTGAGACCTGAAGAGAGGAGAAAAGTAAATGTCTAGTTATAAATACACAGCAAATGATGTATCTTGGAAGATGAAGATCTAGTCTCTCATTAGGACAGAATAAAAATAGATAGGTTTGTAATGTACAGAGAAAACGTATTTTAAATATTACAATGACCTTTTAATTTTGAAAACAAAAAAAACCCCAGCTCATGGCACCAAATGGGGATGCAGAATCTTGATAACAGTATCATTTCAGGAAAGAGTGTAGGAATTCCTACAAGAGTGTAGGAATAATTCATTTGATGCTGCCACATTGCAGAAACGGAGTACAGAAGATCCACATGTGATTCTTTTCAAATCAAATTAATCTATAAAGAGTGACTAGTCCCAGTTCTTCCCTACTATAATTATTCTTAGCTTTCCCATCACATGCAGTAAGTGTAGAATCAATCCCAACAAGATCCTGAAACTATGCAGCTTCCTAAAGCTGAGTCTCAGCAATGTTCCTGAATTATTAGACATGTTTCTCTATATCAGTACTTTCTAAGGAGAACTGAGATTTCATTTCTGTCCATACAAAAAAACCCTAAGTCTACTGTATTAGTGTAAGCATTGTAATTGTTTTGAGGGGAGGAGGTTTAAATTATTTCTTTGGAAACTTAAGTGAAATTTAATTTGCTCGGTAATAAAAATGTGACGAAATGAACCCTTCTGATTTGCAAAATTGTGGTAAAAAATGGACGATAAAATTCCTAGGAACCACATAGAAGAGCAGCCTACAACATATAAAATACAGCAAGACTATTCAGCCATAAATGTAACATATTTTGCCTCAAAAGCTGACATGCTGTTAGCTATGCATGAAGTTTTGAGAAACAATGCCAGAGAGAGCATCTTACACTTCTTTTTTCCAAAAAGCAGCAAGAAACTTTCCAGGAACACAGTGACATAGTTCAGACATAGGCAAAATAAATACAGCAACTGAATATAAAGACAATTTAAAGTTTACCTGTGTCTGAGGTTGTGGCTGCATGTTGGCTTGAAGTCTGAGTTTGTAGAAAAAAGGGCTATCCTGCTTTTACTCCCTGCCTTGACATACAATATTTTTGCAAGGTTAGTCTTCAGTCTGCAAATTCACCGGGCTCCTTGTACAATTGTACAAACATTACCACTGGTACAGAGGAGGAGCAGGGGAGGACACACACAGGCTGTCCCCTGACAGAAGGGTGGGACTGGACCCCTGGCCAGCAGAAACACTGTGCAAGCCAGCTGCAAAACCACCTTCAGGTTCTCTCCTTAAAGAGATAGGGAAGAAGGGTAAAACTTGTTTTTCTCCCCCCTTACCCACAAGAAAACTTAAATCTTATTGTTCAAGTTATTATTCCCAGCTCTTCAAGCAGCCAAGATCAAACTCTCCTTAAGTTACATCCATGTCTTCTGATTCTAATATGCACATGGATTCTTGTCCCATTAATTTACCAGATGACCAGTGAAACAAACTGGTGTCAAAGGCATTTGCATCTTTAATTGTATTGCACAACTCTTTTCCCTTACTGTTAGTAGATAGGAGCTTAAACAAGTATATTTAGATCTGCTGAGACTCTTTTACGTAGTCAAGTCAGGGAGGGACTTTATTCACTCTGAGGTGCTTTATCATACCTTAGATTTTTTTTAAGATGTTACAATCCATAGTAGTTCTTCTTTCTGTCAGAATCACTATATTTAAGTAGCATTAACAGCCTCAGCCTCTCAAACAGAATGTGAATTATGTTAGCAGCACACTTCTTTTCAAAGGGCTGAATCTCTGTGGACCCTTTTTGGAAATGTATTTTTCTGGCTCTCCCGTTTGCTCACAGGTAACTGCTTCAAAATCACTGTGTGATGTACAACACAAAACTTTAATAATATTTTATTGTATCATGCAGGGCCCACGCAAGCTGTGTGTTAAGGAGATGAACAGTGGCATGGAAAAAAAGCAGGCCTGGCTCACAAAGAACAAAAGAAAAGCCTTTTATGCAGCAGTGGCAGCTGACAGCTTCAGAGATGGAGTCAAAAGTCTTCTTCAAGTAAGCTTTTTGTTTACAAAACACACAGAAGAGTGTTACATCAAAGCATCCCTTTATGTGAAGCATTACTGTTTACTTGTTAAGAAGCCCTGTGTATGTATGGATGGATAATGTTATAGACAGAAGGGGCATTCTGGGGGCAGAATGCAGAAGGGGCATAATATAAATGTATATTATATTACAGATTATTTCATAAAGATCTCGTTCTGGGCTATGGCATTATGAGACAAGGCAGACTGATTCTCTCCTAAATGAACAAGACACTTATGAAAAAAGAGAGGCATCTGCAGGGCAACATATGACTGTCTTTGCAGCTGACACTTGATACACTTCAAATCAATTCTATTGTTTGGTATTATGCAGCATATTAAATATATGAGAATGTTTCTGCATTAAATGAAAACTGAAAATGTGTAATATACATTTTCTGCAAACAGCAAGAAGGCCATTTAAATAAAAGTGCAATATTTTTCTATTACTCTAAGAATACAGCAGATCATTTCCAACAGTCCATTTAAAATGGCTTTAATGAAGGCACAGAGACATTGTTTCCATATTTCCCATCTTCCCCCCTTCACATACATGAATATTTAAACATACAGGTACTGAGGCAAAACATAGAGAAAATTCACATCTTTTGCACAAAATACACTGCTGAAAAGACATCAGTGCAAACTGAGACAGTAGGGAACCAACTAAAATACTCTGGGTAACAGTCACCCACTGGCAGCCTACCAGGGCTCTTTGTACACTTGCTGAATGGACAGTACAATTGAGCAAGATGAAATGCTATTAATAAAGGTCCCTTTGTTCTATCAAAGCCTCACAAAGACACTTCATCTTGGGTTTATACATTGTCTCAGTAGGAGATCCCTCTGATGTTTTTGAGAACTGTTACAGTCTGATGATCTCTTCCTTTCCATTACTACTATTGCCAAAGTCAACTACTGGACCACAAATAATTCCCTTCCAACAAACAGAAGGAAAACCATATCATCACTATTGTAACCTAAAGTCATGTGCAACAATTATTGATTTCAATGTAAACAGTGCAAACCCACCAAGATTCCAACAGTTTTTACCTCTTTTCTGCTTGCTAGTAGTAAAACTGGGCAAGTGTAACAACTTGACAAGCTGGTATTTTTTGTGTCTCCTCCTGAAGGTTCCCAATACACTGTGTTTAGATTTCTATAAAAATTAAGTCAGCTGAATCTAGATCTGACTACTCCTACTTGTCCAGGTTTTAGCATCCAGAACCAGTTCTGGAGGCAATTTAATATCTTGACAAACCATTTCTTCTTCCTGTTTATAAACTATAATTTAACAGTAAATAGTAATGCTTCACATAAAAGGATAATTTGACGTATCTATAAAGCATGTTCACCTGATTTTGGATAATCTTTTGAAAAGAATACAGCAAATGGAACAGCAACAGTTTCCAAATTCAAGGAAAAAAAATACTCTTAGGAGGCTACGCCTTCTCTGTGTCTCTGAGGTGTTTTAAGAGACTTCAGACTCAGTTCATCTATGGAACATTCCAAAGCTGATAAAAGCTTTATGCTATAATGTTAGAATGAGCATACAAACAGTTCTGAACTCTCTCTTGATTCCAAGTTATTGAACCATTTTAATGAGAGCATGTCAGAAGAAATGCAAATGAATGCTAATTTAGCAAAACTACATTTATGTCGTCTAAAATCATTTACAGTTGGAATGATTTAAAGCTAATCTTTCTGATTTCTGCTTGGCTATGAGCATGAAGGGCATTTATGAAATGCAATCTAGTTGTAAGTGTCTCCAGAACATTACTTCAGTTATCTTTTGCCATTACTTTTCATTTACAGTTAAAAGCATGTGTGTGTGTGTACCTTTCTAAGCAGTGTTTTAATATTGTTAGGCCTCGGGCTTGGGTAGAATGAAACCAAATACCTTGGTGATTGGATTTAAGAAGGACTGGAGAAGTGCACCTGCCACACAAATTGAAAACTATGTGGGCATTATACAGTAAGTCAGCTCAGCACCTCCCTTTTCACTCCTCTTAGACTGGATTAACATAGCATTTCCATACAGAATTTGATGTGTAGAAACAATGTAAGTACCTACAAATCTAGGCTACACATCCTACCTCTGTAACAGAAGTTACTGCCCATTATAAAAGGCTCCTTGGCTTCCCACACCCAGTAGGATCTGCCTGTCAAACATCTGCACTGTTGGAGCTGATGTGGCTTGACAGCACTAAAGGAGCTGCTCTGCTGTCAGCAGGGCTTTTGCAGAGCTGTATTTTCCCATTTTTAGTGGGCAGGAGCTCAGAGAAAAACAACCATCATGTACGTACTTAGGGAATAAGAGAACATCATGGAATTCTTCTTTTAAGCCTAGGAGACAGAGGAAGAGCCTTGCTTCAAATCTCATGTGTGCCTAAGGCTCAGCAGCTCTGTGGGTTGGGATTTCACTGGGAAACAGTCATTTAGAAACAGGCTTCTCATAGATTTCTGCTCAAAACTCACCATAAGCGAGTTACAGAGCAACAAACCCCACCTCAGCTCTGTTATTTCCTCAGAGAAGGGAGAAAAAAATTACCCAATTGCAACCTAGTTCCTAAAAAAGTGTTGTCTGAAAGATCCATTCCAGGAATAGCCTATCTGTTCCCATTTCCACTCATACACTTTTTTTAAATAAGGGAAGAAAATTTACAGTACTTAGCTTAATCTTGGGCGATCCCTTCTGCAGTTTTACCTAGCCTGTCCTCCCTGTGAACAGTAACACTTCCTCTGATCTTCTCAAAGTAGCTTTCCTCACTGACGTGTACGATGCAAAAAGCATATTTATTCTTCTTTTTCTTTTTTTCCAGTGATGCCTTTGATTTTGAGCTTGGGGTGATTATTGTCAGAATTAGCCAAGGATTTGATATCTCTCAGGTCCTTCAGGTTCAAGGTAAGACTCCACAGCTGAATATCTGTGCTGGTTACATGCACAGCACAAGAAGTACCCTTAAGAATCACCACCTGCTTTCTAGGATAGTTCCTACACTGATGACTTCTACAGTTCCTCCTTGCTTCTCCAATTTAAATCCTGCCCCAAATTCTTGCTGATCACTGGCAGTGACAGAAAGAGTTCAAGCCTAACACATTAAGGGGCTCTGCACTCCAGAGAACTCAACTCCCAAAGCAGTTCCAGCACAGGCACAGACTAAAGCAGTAAAAAAATCATGCTGTGCCACAGCAACCTGTCACTCTGCTGCACATTCCCCTCCTGGTCTTGACACATCTTCCTCCTTCTGCTTACCTGAGATCTGTGAGACTGCAGGAATCAGGAAGCTGCACTTTTGGTACCACCTCTGCAGAACTCTGGGGCCCAGAAAGTTCCCACTCATGCAAAAATTTGGAACCCACAGGAAACATCAATTCTTCTTCACCTTTTTGTTCATTCTTCCTTAGGTTAGCAGTGCATATCTCAGGGGAAATGGAAAACCATAGCATAACCTCACCTTGAGTCCTGTGTGCAGTTTTGGGCACCCCAATACAGAAAAAGACATTAAGCTATTAGAAAGCATCCAAAGGAGGGCCGCAAGGATGGTGAAGGGTCTGGAGGGGAAGGTTTATGAGGAGTGGCTGGGGTCATTTAGTTCATTCAGCCTGGAGATGAGACCTCATTGTGGTCTTCAACATCCTTATGAGGGGAGAACTGGAGGGGCAGACACTGATGTCTTCGCTCTTGTGACCAATGATAGGACCCAAGGGAACAGCCTGAAGCTGAGTTGGGGAAAGTTTAGGCTGGATATCAGGAACAGGTTTTTCATCCAGAGGGTGGCTGGGCACTGGAACAGGCTTCCCAGGGAAGTGGTTCCAGCACTAAGCCTGTCTGAGTTCAAGAAGCGTTTGGACAACATTCTCAGGCACATGGTGTGATCTTTAGGGTGTCCTGCACAGGGCCAGGAGTTTGACTCAATGATCCTCATGTGTCCCTTCCAACTCAGCATATTCTATGATTCTATGAACCACTGGGGGATCCATGCCATCTGGGTGGAAAAGGTAGAGGGACACAGAGCAAGCAGACAGCTGCACCTAAACGAAGGGCTTCCAAAAGCCACATACACAATGGCAGCCTTCGTTTTGCTTTTTCCCCTTTAGCACACAGAGGTCTTATTTGTTCCTCAGGTATTCTGGGGAAGGGAACAGCTCCACATAAAATAACCCTCAGAACAATTCTCTCAAGGTGTTCAGTACGATAATTTCCCCCACATCTCGTCAGTCTACCCACTCGCTCGGACAGAGCCGGGCTAACCCCGGCCGTCCGTCCCGGCCCCGGTCCCCGGCGCGGCAGAGCACGGCTCTCTGCTGCCGCCCGCCGCCAGCGCCGCGCACCGCCCCGGCTAATTACAGCCCAAATTAACAGCCCAGCAGAGCGGGCGGTCCAGGATGAGGTAACGCTCAAAAGCAAATCACCTCCCCGAATTAAAAGGCGCCAGAGACTCCTTTCAAAAGCAAGGCGGATGAGCGCTCGCTCAGCAGACTGGCAGCTCGATGTGCACGGAGAGCCACGGGGACTTTGGAAAAAATTCTAAACTAATCAAGGTTTCTTCTCCCCCTCGTGACACCTGAGAGAGATCTGCCTGTCTCTTTGCTTGATGCAAGTCAGAAACTGACTGCTCAAAACGTACAGTCATTGTAACACCTGTGAAAACACAGCAAATACCAGCTCTGCGTTCTTACAAAGTAACAAATGTTCTTCAAGGGGTCAGACACGAGGAGTCAGGAATTAATTAGGATTGGGGCAGGGAGAAAAACCCTCAAATATCAAGGAATGTTTTCAAGTAGATGCAAAGTCTCTGCAGTGGAAAACAAAGATCACTGTATTCTATTATACTTTATACAGCATTCTGTTCAATGGAGAAACTGAAATTTTAGTTTTGAGTCACCATTAAGTTTGTGACTATCACCGTGTCTGACAATCAGAAGCACGTGGCTGTCATGGACTATAAAGTAAAAGAAAGGATATTCTTTCTGCTGGCAACTCAGAGTGTCAGCAGAGTTAATAATGTCCACCTAGAGAGAGTTTATTTTTTTTAACACAATGTCTTAAATGAACTCTACAGGAACTTTACTTAAGTGAACATTTAGTTCATCTATTACTCAAATAGAAGTTTTCCTTAAGAAAAAAGTTTTCTGCAGGCAAATGCCTGAACCACATTAATTAGTGCCTCGTCATACTATATTCCACAGTAACATGTGGTACCTTTTTCTCAGCATAAAGCTAATACTGGCAAGATGAAATTGTTCTTTTATATTACTAAATTTACTGGATTGGTTAGCTAAATCTTACATCTTTACAGCAAATGCTTAAAACTTAAAAATATTTCAGCATAGAAACTGATGGCATATTCAGGATCCTTAAATATTTCTGAGAATCTTGAAGTCCAAACCATGTGACTTGTTCTTAGAAAAGGGACCCACAGGCTCGAACTCAATATCTGATCTTTCTCATTTTAGGAAAACAGCTTTTCTAATGTGTTTTCAAATTCTTGGCTAAAGAAACCAACCAAATATCCACTAACATAACTCAATATCTCATGTAACTATAAAATGTCATAATACTGAATTTGATCTGGAAGAGAAAACCTAAGAGCAGCTGAGTAGCACTGTAACACACCCCACTGCTGTAGGCACAGGCACCCTAAGTTAGGGCTTCTACAGGTGAATTCAGCTTCCTCCTCCCTATTAGTTTGCAAAAAAGAAGCATTTTAGCTTTTCCTCCCAGCAGCTTTACATTGTCTACAAAGTACCATAATAGCAATTACATCACCACCATTAGTTCAATAAGCGATTTAATTTAAAAAAGAAAGTGATGTGTTACCAGTTCACTTACCTTTTCCAATATACAGAGGAATTAGAGAAGCTGGAGCAGGAGAGATTGGCACTGGAAGCCACCATTAAAGAAAATGATTTTGAAGAAGGAAAAAGGGGCATCTGTGGATTCTTCAAAAAAGCCAGCACACTCAATATCTCAAAACATGAAACAAAAAAGGGTAAGTTCCAAAATGACAGCTCCTTCCTGACCCTTCAATGCACCCTGCTTTCACCAATATCCAAACTGGACTTTACTCCAAGCCAAAAGCTCCTGAGCCACACAGAAGCCCCTGGAAAAGGACCTCCCCTGTACAAACCTGTCATGGTGGCTACAACCCTGTAATGCAGCACAGAGTGACATCCTCTGCTTGTAGGATACACTACCTCGTAAAACACAACCAATTTCCTCCCCTCATTTGCTAGATAAACTTCTCAGCTCAGCTAATGTTCAATTCTATTTGTCAAAAATAGAATATGGTTGGTTGACAAATACAGAACAAGTTGGTTTGGGGATTTTTTGGTTGTTTGGTTTTTTTTAATAGGCTGTTTTCAGTTTTTAAATAGAGGCCTTTCTTCCTCCTCTTTAAAGAAAATAGGAACATATTCCCAATATTCAGGGAACAAGCAATCTTACTTTACTTAACACACACACACAAACTCGGTACAGAGCTGAAAAACAGGTAAAAACAGCACAACTGCTCTATATTCTAAGCATAATTTCATAAAAATGCACAAGTGAAGGTGGTAAAAGTACTGGAAGTACATACACAGCATGCTGTCAAATAACTAATTAACACATAACTTAAATGTGTAGGTGATGAAATCAAAATTACATTTCAGATATAGTAAAATGATACAGAAATACAGTCAGAATTTAAGGTCTCATTTCACAACTGCTAGGCTGTAATGGTAATGACCCACCTGAAGCCATGCTTCTACACAGACATGTATTTTCAGAATTTTCACCTGCAGAGACTATTACATCTGGCTGTGCATGCAACTCCCACAGGTATCAGGAAGATCTACAGACTGAAAACATAAAATGTCATTATTCGTTAGTTGGCAGACTTCAGTTCATTTTGCAAGCTTCAGTAAAATATATTTTTATGACAATTCCAACAAGAGTGTGCACCTCTGTTTCAACTACCCTTTTTGATTTAGTTGAGAAAGGCATAAAGGAAATACATATTGCACACTCTGGCTCTCTATATGAGATAGATTATGATAATAAATATCCCTGCCTCTCTCTTTTGCTTTTATATTCATAGTCCCCGGAGTTGTTGCATCTTCCAGCAGAAATGCTAGAACTGCTTTAGAACTATCCTGTGCACGCTCCAGAAATACAAGAAAACCAAACAAAGCATTTTCAGAACCTAGCAGATCAGAGTAAAACCTCTGAAGAAGCCTGTCTGCTCCATTTAAAATACTGCTCTGACACCATCTCTTTGAAATCATTGAAAGAGGAGCAGTAATAAAGTCACAGGCTTCAAAAGATGGAATGAGAGAAGACATTGTTAGTGCATAATCAAAACTATAACTTTTGAAGCCAACCAAGCAAACAGAAAGGACCAGAATGTATTTTCAATTAACAAGGACCATCCCAGCCCAGGGAAGCAGCCATACAGGTTTGTGTTTCCTGCCTTCCACCCTTCACCTGTGCTCCCGCTGCATCCTCGTTTCGTCCACCATCGCTGTGCCTTCCAGGGAGCTCTGTGTTTTACAAGACAGCTGAGATTGTAAATGAGGCAAAATAACACATTTACTTCTAAAATCTATCAGATATTTCCCACTCGCTTTTTAAAGCCCCAGAGAATTTTACATTATGTAAAAAGAGACAGAGAACAAACAATCAGATAACCCCTTTCAAGATGCTATAATCTAGTGACAATGTATCCCACAAGCTTTGGTTTCTGTGAGTATTGGCACATTAAAACTCCATAGCATCCACTCTGTAATCTTTTTTCAGATTTAAAGTATAGAAATTATGTCAGAGACAGTTCATTTTCTTGAAGCTTTCTCTCCGTTTGGCTCCCTAAAGCTACTCGTGTCCTCGCTTGTCAGACATCCTTTCACATTTTTTCTTTCTCATTGCAGAGAGCACCATTAACACCATGCAGTCAATGCATGTGGGTGAATTCAATCAGAAGCTGCTAGAAGCCAGCACTCAATTTAAAAAGAAGCAAGGAAAAGGTACAATTGACATTTGGTGGCTGTTCGATGATGGAGGTAAGGAATTTGAGTAAGAACCCCAGGGAGAGAGATTTCTGTGTTACCAAATATAAAAACAGGCTTGGGAATTCACATTAAACCGTTTTCTTTTAAGATCACATATTCAATTTTATGTCTGGATTAAATGTTTTAAAATTAACTTACATCCAATGCTGCTGAAGTGAAGGATGGAATTTTTACCACACAATGCACTAATCTGATCTTCCTGTAATTTTGTATGTTCTTCCAGGTCTAACAATCCTAATTCCTTACATTCTAACTATCAGGAAGAAGTGGAAAAATTGTAAATTAAGGATCTTCACTGGAGGAAAAGTCAACAGGATTGAAGAAGAAAAACTAGTGTAAATATAATTTTATTTATCTCACTGTTCAGTGTTTGAATGATGCTGAATATAATGCATATACAGCAGGAAGCTGGGAATTTTCCAGCACAACCAGTTTGTTGTACTGTGGGCAGCAGGAAAAAAAAAAAAAAAGATGTACTTGACAGAAAGGTGTTGAGCTTATGGCATAGCCCTCAAGGCTCTGCAAATGGTCATTACCAAAGGAAACTCACATCCAGCACTTTTTCCCATTAATAGCTCATATTCCCTTCCCTAAGAAGAACAGTCTGCACTTCGTAATGAGAATATAATTACTTTTATGGGATTTACATGAGATTGTCCAGTTAACAGCAAGTGAAATTGCACATGAAACTCTCATATGCAATACCATAGACAGATAGCTCACATAAATGTGATTAACTGTGGCAAAAAGTAAAGAAGTTAAAGAGCAAGTTAATCAACTTTAAGACCAAGTTGATTTTACTCAGCTTTTTAAAACAAGTCTAGATTTCATAATCATCATTTGCCTTCAAGCAAATGAAAGGTACTAATATTAACTTATTTTTATCATCACTGTATACAGCACCTTTCCTTCCAAAGCACTTTACACACTAGAGGCACAGCTATTTCACCACTGGTGGAAGCAGCTCAATTTGGGATGAAAATCAGCAACTGCTTAACAAAGAGCAGTTAAAAACAACATCAGTCAAGTTCAATTTCAGCCAATTCAGAAGTTAAATTTAGCTGGACTTTTACTAGTATGTAATTCCCCAAATATTAAAACCTCTCCACAGAAGCTGAGACTTTTCTCTTTTTCCTGTTCTAAACAAGGATTGCCCCAAGGGACGTCAAGATTTATAGAAGCAGTATGTTCTTCTTATATATATAAAAGAAGAATGAGTAAACTCTCAGGTCATAAACAAATATGTACTTCTACCATGGTTTGCTCCTAGGAACTCTCTGACCTTTTCAAATTCCAAAGCTTACATACCAAAAAAAAAAAAAGAAAGGGAAGGAGGTGTGGGGAAGAACCACAAGATCCCAACTGTGCTTCAAACAAAGACAAAACTGACCTAAGCAAACCTCTGTAACCTCAGCACAAACACACACAAAGCTATAAACTATTCCTTCTGCCAACCAAGGCTCAAAAGTATTTTCTTTTATGAAAATGTGCAAAACCAACATGTGAGTAGATCACTATAAATTCCTAAATGAAAAAGACTCTTTAAGTATTGTTCACTAACTCTCTGGACCAGATTTTCACCAACACATACACTACCAGTGTTGTACACGCTCCATGCATAGAATTCTGACAATAACAGAATAACAGAAGCCTTCTGTAAGAACTGGAGGATTCTGCCCTACTGCATTTTGAATATTTTTCCTTTATAACTCAAGCCTTAGGATATACTTAAAGTACCATTTTTTTCCCAAAATGTAAACACCCTGCCCTCTGTCTGCTATTAATTTCCACTTTTTGTGATTTTCATCGATCATCAGTTAAATGAATTATACTACAGCAATCACATTAATCCTGTTCTGTAATTGCAAATTGAAACACTAAAAGCATTTAAAGTAATTTGTCATATAGTTAAAGATAAGATATCAAATGCAGTTGTCTAACTCATTTATGAGTGTTCTTTGATACAAGGCACTCAGAAGCACAGTGATAAAACATTTCTCTTTTGTTTTCAGGATGGCTTCACTCCTAAGCAAATTCAGAATAAAATTTGCTGATATTAATATCATTTGTGATATCAATATAAAGCCCAACAAAGAGAGGTAAGAAACATTAACAAAATCCATTATTTAGCAGTCAGCCTTTATCTGGAGCTTGTTTTTTTTATGTTGAGCATTAAAAACAAAAAACCAAAACACACCACAGAGAACAACACTGTCACTTTATCACAATAATTTTCTAAGTACCAAGAACAGGAAAAAGAAAAGAACCTTTTAACAATCACAATTCAAAGAGTCCAAACCATAGGCAGCCTTTTTCTTTATGTTGTAATTATAAGAATTTTAATAAAGACTAATTAGACAGCATACTTATGAGCCACTAAATTTAACAGGCATTTTATGATGGCTTTTCATATCTATTTAGCTTGCAATAGACTTCAGTCATAGTTCTTCTGTCAACTCAACCTTCTGGATTTTATAATGAATTCATAACATTTTTCTGGCCAAACATAAGCATATTTCCTCTTTCCCATGAGGACAACATTATAACACTCCCCTATCACTCAAATATAATGAAGGTTCAATTTTTTTAAAAATTAACTTATCTTAGGTAAAGGTTAGGAAGTTGGTAAAACAGTGCTCAAGGAGCTCCACCTCCAACTGTGTCAGCTAAAAAAAAATAAATCTTAAAGTCCTTTCTTTCTAAAACATATTTCCATAAAAATCATCTATGTAGACATCTGCTAATGTAGACAAAAGTCTACAGCAGGTTGCTCATGAAATAACTGAATCCTAAACTCAATTCACAGTATTGCTCTTGGTCTTAAAGATCCACTGAAAATGTGCTCACCTTGCTATGCTGTCTTCCATCCCCTCCCTTACTCCACCCAAAGCCCTTCCTCTGAATTCAATTGCAATCCCAGGTTAGTTTCTCAGTCCTTCCGTGTCCTGTTTTTACACAAACACATAACTTTGCAAAAACAATATTAGATTCACCAGTGTTTCTGTGGTTCGTTGGAGATTTTCACTTAAGAAATGAAACTAAAGAATAGGAAGATTTTATTACTAGATACCTAAAGTCACCTTTTATTGCCCTCTTGATCTCTGAAGTAATATTTTTTAATTATATCAAGAACTGTGCAGAATACTTCTTTTTTTCCTCCAATACAACGCAGTGATTTTACATAAATAAAAGCTAGCAAAGGGAATTCATATCTGGCATTAACATAAAACACACACACATGTGCTGCATCAGCAGTATCTCAACAGAACAAGTGAATATTGTGCCAGACACTTGCTAGACCACTGTATCTCTCTTCCAGCTGGCATCCCACTTATTTCATTAATAATAAGAGAATTATCACTATTTTACATACTGAAACAGAGAATATGGATGTTGACAAACTCTGACAACTTAGCAACAGCCACACTAAATGCTGCATGTCACAGTCTTTAACCCACCTCATGACTTCCTGGCCATAAAGTCCAGCCTGTGCCCAGTCTCCCATTTCACTTCCTAGTGAGGTCTGTCAGCACAAAGTGCTCAGAGAAAGACACTCACACTGACACAAGAGAATCTCCCTCAGGTCTCTGTGGGATTATAAAAAACTTTCAACAATGCAGCAAGCAAGGAAGTTTCTCCAGATGATGACAATCAAAAGCTTAAAAAAAAAAAATGAAATTCACAGTGAAAGTCTGTGGAAAAGTGGGGAAGTTGGGAAATGAACACAAATCTGAGCCCCCATATAGCAAAAAACCTACAGCATTTCTTTCAGCCCCTTGCCATAGGAAATTTATATCACCTGTTTATCCATTTCATTAAAATGCTCAGTAAAACTGCATCAGTCAGGTGATTGGTCTTGCTAGAGCTAAAACAGTAATAAAACTTTATTATGAGAATCCACATTCATTGTTAATATTAATAACTAATAGTTAGTAATTAGTAACCAGTTTGGAGTTTTTGTAGAAGTAATTTTTGTCAGAACCAGGAAAATGCCGAAAATTCTCTGCCAAATGCAGTGTTTAATTATCCTCAAATAACCTTTTAATTATCCTCAAATAACCCAAACATACTGAAGTGGCACAGATATAACCTGGGGCACAATGTAACAAACAATAGTTAAAGATTTTGCAAGTTTTTCAGCTGCAATTATCATCAGCGAGGCCTGTCGTACACAGTGACTGTGAAATAAGTCAGTGAGTTCACACCCTGCAGCAAGGCCTCCTTTGTAATTCCTGTTTCAGCTGGAAATTCTTTGAAGAGATGATTGAACCATATCGTCTCCATGAAAGCTGCAAAGATATAACAACTGCTGAGAAATTAAAGCGAGAGACTCCATGGAAAATTACAGATGCAGAGCTGGAAGCATTCAAGGAGAAGGTAAAGCCTTGCCTGCCTTTTTACATATGTACCTTTTCTTACACTCCAGATGTTTGAAGCGATTAGTAAGAAAATGTGAAATACCAGATATGGAATGAGAAACGTGACATGTACAAACCTGTATTTGATATTTACAAATTGGATTTATATTGTAAACACTGCAGAGGTGTGTTATGATTGCATTATTCAGCACTCTAAGACCTTGGCAGGTTTACACAGTATTTTCCAGGCTGATGAGAAGCTCTGCCCACATCAGAGCCAGCCAGATGAAAACCCACTGTGAACAAGAAGCCACATAGTGCTGCACTGAGCCTGAGCTAATCGGATCTGCTGAGAGCTTTATTAAATGGCTCCACTGTTTTAGAGCTTGAACCTCTTAAAGACTGCAGTTCCAAACATTCACCACTTTGGGAAATGCAGGACTGAATCCAGACACCACAACTAACTCTAGAAATTTCTCCAAAGGCAA